CAGTCACCACTGCCCATCACCAGCACGCGGGCTTTGGGGCTTTTTGTTCTGTAGTGTCTGAGACCTGGTCCTGGTTGGATGGGGCTGTTCCAGCCAAGCAACTGGAGAACGCAGTCGCAGGCAGCTTACCAAGGCTGACGCAGAGCGAAACTCCCCTCACTGGGTGAGAAACTGGCCTTCCACATCTCTTTCACACGTGTGCGTGTGCAGATCAGAAAGACACAGATGGAAGTTCACAGAGGGGACTTAGCTGGCAAGGTGCACTGCTGTGAACAAGAAGCAGCTCCCCTCTCCCTGGAGGTCAGGTGACCCTGCTGCCCGAGTGGGCACCACACTTCCCAGAGTGTGTACTGGTGCCAAGTGGGCAGTCGGGCTCTGGAGATGGACTCCTCCTGGTGCCCACTGCAAAGGGTGTGTGTCAATGAGGTGTTTTCCCGACACTTCAGGAGTGTGGGAGAAGGACCTCCCTGCCTGTGTCAAGTGAGCAGCAGGTCCTGCCCAGGCCGTGTCGGTCAGGTGGAGCTAGAAACAGGAACAGATTGGCCGAGTCGAAGTGTGAGTTCTCTTTAACTGTGATATAAACCCAGATTGTGGCTTTTGTCTTCTTTCAGATGGTACAATCACCAGCTGTCCTGTAGAAGAGCAGGGTGTACTTCCATGCAAGGATGTTGTTTCCATCTTGCCCTGGCTGGCTGGGGCTCCTGGGCAGCTCCCCAGGGACTGGTGGTGCCGGGGGAATTCTCTAGGACAGAGCTGTTTGGCCGCAGGGTGGCGTGATGATGGTGCTCCACTGTGGTGCTAGGCACCTACCCCTGAACCTGCCGCCATACCTTCTGCCTCCTAGCACCTGTGTGACCTGGTAAGGACTTCACCTGTAACCCCACCTTGTCATTCATGAGATGCACAGTGGGGAGACAGGCCCACCTCGGGGCCTGAAGTGAGGCAGTGACTGCACACATTTCAACTTCTTCAACTTTAGGAAATGTCAGGAGGATGACATGTCAAGTGTGTTTTGACCTTCCTTCCAGAGGCCACTTGGTTTGTCCCTGTCATTTTTTCTAATAATAGATAGAATATGCCTATTTATAAAGTATAGGAACACATCAAAGAGCCAGAAGACCAACCAGGACTTGGTTGCCCAGGAATAATCACTGTTAGCATTTTGTTTTTTAATCTGCCCGTAAATTTCTTCATTCCTTCAATAAGACTATGTGTGTCAATATAGGACAAGTGGGGTGCCCGCCACCATCTTGGAACTTGCCCACTCGCTAGTGTGTGGACCTTTTCACGTGATAATGCAGCTGCACAGTGTGACTTAACTGATGGGTGTGTTCCTTTGCACTCAGTGTCAGCTGCGGTGGGTTGGGAACAGCACTCTGAGTATCGGTGCCCGAGCCTTGCTTAGGACAGTGGCTGGAGGAAGTTTCTGGATGAGAGGCAGTGAGTCAGACCCTGCACGGCATCCAGTGCTAGTGAGGCGGGGTCCTTCCCTGCTTTCGCCACATAGGGAGGCAAAAATTTGCAGTTTTCATTTGTATTTCTTTGATTAAAGGCTAAATATATTTTGTTTGTTGGCCCCTGGCGTTCGTCCTTCCTTGTCCGTTTCCTGTTGGATTTTAAAATCTCCTTGTTAATTTATATAAACTGAGTTTTTATACTTTTAGATTTGTGAATTTATGATACCATAAATTTTCTGGTTTTGTCTTGCAACTAGAGACATTTAAAAAATTCTTGTGTAGGGCTGAGGATGCAGCTCCGTGGTAGAGGGCTTGCTTAGCACGCTGGGTTTCATCTGTCGCACTGAAGATCAAATAAGACATAAAGCTCAAAATGTTAGGCGGTCGGGCTGGACATGTGATCCAGTGGTAGAGAACTTGCTTGGTATCCGTGAAGCCCTGGGTTCAGTCCCCAGCACTGGGAAAAAGACGACGACGAAGAAGATGGTGGTCAAGTTTGTCCTGTGTGGCCTCTGCTTTTTTTTTTTTTTTTTTTTTTGCTTCTGAGAAAGTGCCTCCTGCCAAAAATTATAAAAAATTACTGAATTCGGGCAGGGATTGTGGCTTAGCAGTAGAGCACTCGCCTAGCATGTGCAAGGCCCTGGGTTTGATTTTCAGCACCACATAAAAATAAAAATAAAATAAAGGTATTATGTTCAACTGCAACTAAAAAATATTTTTAAAATTTACTGAATTTTAAAATTCTTATGTGGATGTTTTTGTTTTGCTTAAAAATACTGACCAGTCAGTTTTGTGCCCATTTGGAATTTGTTTCATGGGATGTGTGAGAGAGGCCTTACTTTCCCTCAGGTGCTCCGCAGGTAGTTCCCACACTCTATCTGCAGTGGGCCTTGGTTCCACCCACTGCCTGCTCACACCTGCCCTGGGTGTGGGGGAGGTGCAGGGTGTGGCCAGTGCAGATGCTGTCCAAGCTGGCTCTGCCTGGACTGTTGCTGTGCAGTGAGCCGCATGCACTCTTTTTCCTGTGCACCTTTGATAGATGCACACACATCTGCTCCTAAGAGGGGGGCAGTCTGGCCTAGAGATTGGCTCCGGGACAGATGCCCCTGCCTTCCCTCCTCCATACCCACTTCCACTGCCGCGCTGACCTCACAAAGTGATCTGTGGGATGGCATTTGCATAGTGTTTGGCATAATGGTGGTGCTTGCTACTTAAATTCTTAGGCAGAATTAAAATTAGAAGGCAAAATAAGTAGGGCCAGGCATGGTAGCACTCACCTGTAATCCCAGCAGCTCCAGAGGCTGAAACAGGAGGATCACAAGTTCGAAGCCAGCCTCAGCAAAAGTGAGGTGCTAAGCAACTCAGTGAAACCCTGTCTCTAAATACAATACAAAATACGGCTGGGGATGTGGCTCAGTGGTGGAGTGCCCAAGTTCAATCCCCAGTACCCCACCTCCAAAAAAGGGGAAATGGTAGGTATTGACAAATGTTCTTAGTGTCTAGGGTGAGTACGTTACAGTAAAAGAGCATACAATAGTCCTTGCCTTGCCATCTGCTGCCACATGCTGGTGTCCTTTTATGGGACACAGGGTTGGCTTTGAGGACCCTCTCTCAAAGAACGATGGTTGGAGTTTGAGGTTGAATCACGAAAGCCCATGCTTTGCAGTGAGAGTGCAGCAACCCTGCCCACCAGGTAACTGGGAGTGTTTACAGTTCATCTGAAACTCCGTGTCATGTGCTTCTCTTTTGCATGCCATAGTGCTCACTGAAATAAGGTCAGAGTATTTTTAGAAGAATACTCATGAAGCCAAAAGAGCCGAGTGAGTAATGGTAGTAGACTCGCAGTGTGTCGGGAGCTCTCCACTTGTGCCGGCCTCACCCGCGGCACTGCACCAGGATCTGCTCTCGCGCTGTCTTCCCCGGGGTGTGCTCTCTGCCATGCTTGCGGGCTCCTGCATGTCCCTTTGGACCAGTGACTCCCCATTCGGGTGGTCTACCAGGGCCCCTCTCTGGTGCTCCCTCAGGCTGTGATGGATTAGAGATGCTCAGGGGGTTTTTCAGAGGGATAACAAAAGGAACTGGGTACCGCCTGCCTGCCGATACAGTATTTCCAGAGAGCAGTCCTCTGGCCTTCCTGCACATCCTCCAGTCCTGGCTGGGCCTGCTCGGGGCTTCCTGCGGGCCCTTCACTCCTCATTCCTGAGCCGGCAGCGCTGGCCCAGCCTCCCCAGGGGTCAGGAGAATTGGAACTGAAGTTCCTTCTTGTGGCAGATGGATGTGTCTTGTGCCCCCATGCCTGCAGGACAGGGGGAAGGAGGCCTTTATTCAACTGTAACCCATGAGGTCCTGAGGGCCACATTAGGGGTCTGTTTCTAGGAACAAGGGACCATTGGCTGACGGACAGTCATGGTTAGCCGTACGTCCTGGGTCTCACGGGAGAGCACTAGTTAAATGGCTCCTGTGTTCTGGTGTCTGCTCCCAGAAGCCATTAGGATCTGTCCTTTTCCTGAGCAGTGCAGGCTGTTAGCAGTCCCTGGAACACATTCCCTGAACCTGTGACTCTGGGCCAATTACCATCGCATTTACACACCCTGTTGGTGCCAGCCACACCTGAGGACAGGTAGTCCTCCTTTCAAAGGGAACTGATAACATGATTTCTGCCACGTATTGATTGGCGCTCACTTCGCCTGCATGGACTGGCGTCAGGAGCTGCCTCCCACTTGGTGGCTGTGAATGGTGGCTAGAAGGGCTGGGGCCATCACCCCGTTCCATCCTGGAGTGTTTGTGTGCCTGTCTCAATCCTGTTGTGGTAGGGTTCTCCAGGTCTGGGAGCTGGGGCCTCCAAAGGGCAAGGGCTCCTTTCCTTCCCACTCTGGTCCCATTTTACTTCTCCTATGTCCTTGAACACCTGGAAAACTTAGGCTCTCATTTTGAGTGAAGTCTGCCGAGACTTGGGAGTTGGAACTGGGGTGAGAGCTGCCTGGCTGCCGATGCAGCTGCTGTCCCAGCTCTGCTTGCCTGTGAGGTTCGAGTGGGACAGGAGAGCACTGACCACTCTGACACACGTGTCCGTGGGATGCAGGCCGAGTTTCATTGTTTCCTCTCTGCGGCTGGCGGGGCGGTGCTCCAGGTTGTGCCCTGCTCTTTTGTGGTTGGTGTGCAGTAGGGCTTATTCTCCAGCCCACTGGGCCAGGTTCCCAGCTGCATCTTTTTTTTTTTTTTTTTTTGAGACAGGGTCTCTAATTTGCTGAGGCTGGCCTTGAACTTGCCATCCTCCTGCCTCAGCCTCCGAAGTACTGGGAGTACAGGCTTGGCTACCACACCTGGCTCCAATTACATTCTCAGCAACTGTTTTTAATGCCCTATTGGTTTCTCCACAGGGATGCTGTGGTTGTGTTGAATGCACTCCAGTTCATTTGGTGACCAAGAGTGAGGCTTGCCATTTAGGCAGCAGATGACTTCCAGCCACATGTCCTCTGCCTCCGGGAGGGCACGTGTTTGGTGGTTCTCCTCTCCAATCAGTGTTCCTGTGAGCCATCAGGATCCTTCCTTGTTTGGAGCCAGTGATAGGTGGCAGTTCTCTTGGCCACTGCCTGGCCAGCGGACCCTGATGAGCTGTCAACCCTGCAGCCTGTGACTCCCCCTGCAGGTATTACCAGAGGCATAAAAAAGGTGGTATCTACGCCGGATTGGCCCAGGTTGTAGCACAGAAGTGCTCCTCAATCCTGAGCCGTTTTTGCCACTTTATGTGGCCTTCATTCTTCCTAGAGGGCACCGGTGTGACAACAAGAGTTCTGGAGGGAGATCAGGGAGGTGTGGCTTGGAATAGTGGTGCTCACCCTGGGGCCTCAGGTGAGCAGCTGGAACCCGGCAGTGTTCCCGCCGCCCCCTGGAGGCTGCGAGCTCCAGGCCATCCTTGGTTCGGACAGCAGCATGGCATGCTGTGGGAGACCTGGGCCCTGGGGTTCTGGAGCTCGTGGTTAATTGGGTGACCCGAGAGTGAACATGATGCGGATCTTTCTGTTTTGCGAAGGCCCCGTAACTCATACTAAGATGTCATGCAAGGCATGCGGGCTGCAGGCAGGGTGTGATGGGAAGCTGCAGCCAGTGGCCAGCCCTTCTGGGAAGTCTGGGTGCTGCCTCTTGGCAGTTCCCTTTTCATTTCCCCTTCCTTAGATGGAGCAAGGCCCTAGACTGTCTCCTTGGCTTTGTGTGTCCAGCAGCTTGGAAGAGGAGTGAGCGATTCTCTCCCGCTTTGGCTTCTAAGGTGACTTCCAGCTCAGTCCTGAGGTTTGTCAAGCGTGGGCTGTGGTCAAGGGCGTGGTCCTGGGCCCTGTGCTGGTGCTCGTTACACAGTTGGCGTACAGTGAAAGCCTGGCCGCTTGGAATGGGATGAGGTTATTTGCCCTGTAGGTTTGAGACCCATATGCCCAACCTGATGGGTTGAGCAGCTGTTTTTTTGAAGTGCTTATGTTTAAGTCTATAGAAAATACCAGAAATTCCATCTCTGGCAGTCGCACTCTAATGCTTGCACGCGCTCCAGAGTGCCTTCAATGCTAGACCCTCTTACTTGCCAGTGGCTGCTTGTTTCTCTGGGCAGGGGTGCCAGCAGAGCTTGAGTGTCAGGTCACCCGGCCACCTGCTTGCTAGCTCTCCAGGCACTTGTTAGTGCATGGGTGCAAGACCTGGTCAGGATGGCTGCTTTCTGATTCCCAGTTCTGAGCCCCACCCACACCCAGGCAGCCTGTGTGGTGAGACAGACTCTGAGAGCCTGGTTGTCATGGCAGCTGGTACATCGTGAGCTCAGTGCACATCAGTGCAGCCATGGAGACGGCAGAGCCCCCACTGGACCTGCAGTGCGTGAGCCTAACCTGGGAGCTGCTTCTCCTCAGAACCCTGGCAGGTGACATGCCTGGGGGCTGTGGCAGAGGAACAGCAGGCCCTGCCCATCCTGCCCCAGCGGTGACCAGGGCAGGCTTGGGTGATGTTCTCAAGCTGAGGCACCTTCTTTTTAGAGAGGAGGCTACTGGGCCCCAGGAGAGGTAGTTCTCAAAGGTTGGGTCCGTCTGGTGACGCTAATGAGGATTCCTTTCCAAAAATGGTTTTCAAGGACAAAACAAAATAGGATGGCAGATGAAGCCAGCCAGTTGTATAAGGCATGGTCATCAAGACACCAAGCCAAATGTGACAAAGTTTCAGATGAGTTCTTCATCACATTTGATTACAAGGACACAAGTGGGTGATTTGAAGTGCACTCTGTGGCTTTGATAATGACTGTTGTGTGACATGGGGTCAGCTGTGCTTTCTGTCTGAGTTGTAAGTACTCCTGGCCTTGCAGTGACTAACGGTACACATTCCTAGTGGAAGGGAAAACAGCTAAAATATTCCTGATCTAAGTTTGCAGCTCCAAGTTCCAGGGGTGAAAATTCCAGCCCTTGGGTGCATGGGACTTGCCACCAGTGCTCTCAGCAGTGTCTCTGTGAGCGAGTTTTCATCATCAGGACTGTCCCCTTGGCCACCCAGTAGGCGCGCTCCCTCTGCCTGCAGGCCTCCCCTTGTCCTCCGCCCTTACTTAGAGGTAGGGCCAGCTGTTCCAGGAGGTGGCTCTTGGGCAGGTGTCACAGTCCATTCTGTGACCCTCCTCTGAGAAGCTGATGCACGCTCCCTGGGCATTCTTGGAGGGCCTCATTCACAGGCATGCCTCTGTGCCTGTCATCCACACTGAGACTTGGTGGTGACCCAACTGCTCACACAGGAAGTCAGTTACTTGCTGCTTCTCTCTAAAATGGGATCTTACCACCACTGTGCTGAGTGACATGCAAGTCAGCAGACACTTGTACCCACTGTCCCCGATACTGCTGGATTCTGGGCCTCAGGACTCTCGCTGCTAGCGGTGCTCAGCAAGGAGTGCCTGGCCAAGGGGTATGTCATTATGTACAGAGCAATGGCACTGCTCCTTCCTGGAGCCGCAAGGTCCCTTCCCACTGTTAGGGTCCAGGGAACCCTAGATGAAAAAGAGGGATTTTCCTTCTCTTCACACAGGCTCCGGAAACAGGTGGACATCATTTAAAACAAGCCCAAGTGACCATCCCAGATGAGAAGCACTGGTGTGCTGCCTGTGGTCTGGAGGAAATGCCTGCGGGGGAGCTGGGGTGTCTAGGACCCTGGGGAAGATGCGCAGTCACTGGGCCTGGGTGGGCAGCTTTCTCCTCTCCGGTGCCTTGGTTTTGATCCCTCTGCCTACACTAGAGACTCCCTGTGAGTGATAAAAATAGCCCAGGCGCTCCCAGGGCTTGAGGCCTGTGTAGGGTTCCTGTTATTCAGGGAATTTCCTTCCCCGGGGAGGAGGTGTGGGTCCACTCGCTCTGCTTGGAAGACATTCATGACTCTAACTTGGGGATTTCTGTTCCGTGTGCCTTCTAGCGAAGTCCTCAGTATTTTCGTTGTCCCCAGCAGCAAGGAAGAACTGTCGTGGGAAGGTGTTCATTTTATAAATATGTTGCCTTTGTATTTTCTCATGGCTTTTCATTTGGGTTAGTGACATAGGCTTGTTTCCCACAGTAAATATGAGCGGAATGGGGCCTCAGGGGATGCGCCTTAGGAGAAGCAGGGTTGACCCAGAGAGGACCCGGCCCAAGTCTGTGCTGCTGGTCAGTTTTAAGTACCAGTCCATCAGGGGGAGCCTGGCCGGCGCTGTCTCTGCTCCACCATGAGGATGTGCTCCTCCATCAAGGCCCCGGCCCCCTCCTCTGCTGGAGAGGCTCAGGACAGGAACGCCCGTGAGCACCCTGTACACCATACCTGCCAGCAAGGACTGTTCGTTCTTTCCCACCAGGAGAGTGTTCTGGCCCTGAAATGGACTGCAGGGCAGAGTTGGTGTCTCTGTGTCTGCATGTTTCCTGGGGCTCTAATGTCACTTTGCTTCTATTTTGGGTTGGACGGATGGAGACCTGAGAACTAGAGCGTTTGTCTGTGGGTATTCTCTCTGTTCAGCCCCCCTGGGTCCTCAGGGGACCAGGTTTGCAGAGCTCATGTGGACAGTGATGTCCATTCCTTGCCACAGAGTCTACAGTGGAAGGTATCACTGGCAAAAGAGAAAAGATTGGGCTAGGGGTTGTAGTTCAGAGCACTTCCCCACACGTGAGGCCCTGGTTTCTGTCCCCAGTACTGCCCCAAAAAAGGGAAAAGCTTCCTCCAGTTGGGGTGACTTACACTCAGAAACAACAGGAAGCTGCTTGAGAACAGTTGTTCCTGGGCCCCCAACAGGGAAGGGGCACAGTTGGTGTGCTGCTGGGCGGTGAGTGTTCTGCCTCTGCACAAGTGACTCCTCCCCTGAAGTCGGTACCTATGGAAACAGCTCAGTGACCTTAGTAACCCCTGAGCATATAAGTTTGTCCATAGAAAGCAAAACACAAACAGTTCAAGAACTGAGTTTTCCTAGGTCAGAAGTACACAGTAAGAACAGATCACTCTTGCTCTTCTTAATAAATTACTTGTTTCAGGTGAATATCAGTAAATACTGAAATATACTGAATTCTTTTTAAATGGAAAGGGTTTGGTTTTTGAGACAGACATTTAATTGGAAATAAGAGTAGTCCTTGTTGAACAAGTGCTTGTGTTTTTCCTAGATCCACAGGTTGAGCTTTACCAATATGGAGTGCCTGAAAATTTGACATGACGTTTCTTTCCACTTCCCATGTACCAGTGTTTCTGAGTGAATTACTGTTTTGAATAGCAGTGAAAGAGGGGCTCCACCTTGACATTTGGACCCCTTTATCACAGCTGAGCCTTGCCCTTTGGCCTCATCTGCCTTGCCAGTGCTTGATGCTGCCTGTCTTTCCAGTGCCCCAGGTGTGACAAACCATTGGTGATTGATGTCCTTGAGGTCTGTGATCAGGTTGACACTGAGACACCTCCTCTGTGGAAATGCAGTTTTGGTCTGTTGCAGACGAGGGCATGGAGCTGTGCTTTCCAGGGCTGCAGAGAATGCCTGGAGTAGCTTGCACAGCTCTCAGGCACCAGGGAGTGGGTGCACACAGCAAGTGCTGCTCAGGCCCTGTGGCAGATGTGTGCATGAACTTCTGAGTTAGGAAAGCTGGCCTTGGACTTGGAATGGCATGCACATCTTCCTTTGGGACTTCAGTCATGACAGAGGATGCTTTCTGGGTGACTTTGGGGACTTTCCTGTACCTCCTAAAATAGTCATTCAAGGGTCAATCAAATGGTTCTAGGCTCCTGTTGTGCCTTCCAAGACCCTGGGGGCAACAGACAATAAACAAGATGACAGCATGGCCTAGAGTGGGAAAGGAGTAGGGTTAGGTGGAGATGGGGGAGGGTGCGGTCCTGGCTAATGATGCCTGAGCAGGGCTTCAAATGGAACACTGCATCAGGACCCCAGGCAGAGCCAAGGCGCAGTGTCTGAAGCAGGAAAGGCCGGCTCTCTTGGCTGGAGGTGGTTAGAGTGCAGAACTAAATCTGAGGCCAGATGGCAAGGACTGGCAAGTACTTGAATGTGTGTCCTAGGTGTGGGAGCCATAGAAGCATTTGAACCGGAAGTGATCAGAAACTCTGGCTATAGCTAGGCAAATGGATGCAGGGGAGACCAAGACCACCACCATCTGCCGTGAGGCCCGTGTGTGGAGCCCTGCAGAACAACCTGCAGCCCCAGGCTGGGTAGGGTGAGGGCTGGGCAGTAGAGGAGGCTGCAGGTGAGCAGAGGCACGCTGTGCAGTTCGCTACACTGTGTGGGAGGCCCCTGGCTGCCCCTGGAAGCAGGGTGCTGGGGAGAGAAGGGTGACTATAGATGCAGTGAGCCTCCAGGGAAGGGCCTCGTAGAGCAGATCCATTTTGAAGATCTGGGCAGAAAATTTGGAATAGAATGGCATGGTACAGTGTTCCTTGCCACCATGCCATTAGAAGAGGGAGGCACTGCAGACAGTCCCTGGAGCCTGGCAGTGGGGGTCCCTGGGGTGAGGAGAGTCTGCACAGGAACAAGGGCTGGGTGGCGAGCCTCAGATTTCCTCCAGGAATGTGAGCGCCCAAGAGGAGAAGTGGCTGAGAAGGCGGGGCCTGTCCCCACCCTGGGCCAAGTCTGCTGTCCTTGATGACAGGGATTCTTCCCTCTGTGTTCCAGTACTTGTGCCTCCTGGGCCCCCCGCGCCACCCATCCAAGGATATGCCTTCAAGCCTCCACCTCGACCTGACTTTGGGACCTCGGGAAGAACAATCAAACTACAGGCCAACTTCTTCGAAATGGACATCCCCAAAATTGACATCTATCACTACGAATTGGATATCAAGCCAGAGAAGTGTCCAAGGAGAGTTAACAGGTATTCCACTCCATCCTTCACTTCTTTCACTGATTTATGGGGCAGGGTCTGTGCAGACAAACTCTGTGTTTTAAACTAACCAACTCTCATTCTCAGCGTGGCCTTCTGACTTTTTTTCTTAAAGTTTCTGTTGTGTTTGTTTTTGAAAAATATTTTATTATTGAGACAGTTGCAGTGAAATACACTGTAAATGTAGAGCTCTGTGAGTCAGTCACAGGTTCTGATTTCTGTCACGATACGTTATTTTTCTCTTCATAGAGACTTGAGTGACAACAATGGGATAGTGTCCGCGGGTCCTAACTTCTTTTTTTCCAGGATTAGTTTTGGAGATCCACCAACTGTATCATTTTATGTACTGTAACTTAGTCTTATTGCTAAGAAATACTTAAAAAAGAAAAACTTCATTGTGTACTCAGAACACCATCCTTTTAGACACTAGGGCAGGCTAAGCTTTGGCCAATATATAGAAAGCGGCTAAGAACATTTGCTCAAGTCTTTTTTTTTGGGGGGGGGGTTGCACATATGTTTTCATTTCTCTTAGATAAATACCGGGGAGAGGAATGGCCAGGTGCAAAGCAGGTGTAGGTTTCGCTGTCTACGAACCCCCCACCCCCAGGATTGTCCCCAGTGATTGCAGCACTTTGCTTCCACCAGCAGTGTGACAGGATCCCATTTGCTCCATGCCCTTGTGAGCTCCCAGTGGGGCCAGTCTTCTGGGGGAGTGTGGCGGCTTCTCCTGGTGGTTTTAATTTTCATTTCCCTGATACTGGTGGGCAGAGCACCTTTTCATGTGCTTACACTCATATGTTCATGTATTAAATATTGATCAAATATTGTTTCTAGTAAGGTGTCTGTTGAAGTCTTTTTTCTGTTTTTATTGGATTATCTTTTTATTAATTTGTAGAATTACCAAAGTAGATTCTAGATGCAAGTCTCTGAAGGGGAATGGGTTGGTGGTTCGGGTGTGGGTCTGTGTGTGGGCTGCTTCTCTTCTCCTGTAGGCCACACTCTTGTTCCCTGAGGTTTTCTGACAGGCTTGGCTCAGAGAGACCAGGACCTCCTGTTCTTCACAGCTGCTCTGCCGTGCCTGGTCCTTTGCTTTTCCAGGTAGAATCTACTAAAAGCCCTTTGGAGTTTTTAAACTCTGGTTGCTTTAACTCTAAAAATCACATGATGTGTTCTTTGCTTTTGGGAATAGTATCTTAAAATCTCTTTTTCTAGGAGTGGAAGAGTGACTTCTAATGAGTCTGGAGTTTGTTTGTGGGGGTGGTGAAAATACTTTAAACTAGATTGTGGTGATGGTCAAAAACTCAGGATATGCTAAATCATTGAATTATGCGTGTTTCTCCCTGCCCTCCTTCCTCCCTCCCTCCCTTTTACTGGGGATTGAATCCAGGGACACTGCACCACTGAGCCACATACCCAGCAATTTTGATTTTGACACAAGGACTCCCTAAGTTTTTAAGCCTGGTCTTGAACTTGTGATCCTCCTGCCTCAGCCTCCCAAGTTGCTGGGATTACCAGTGTGTGCCACAGCACCTGCCTAATTTTACACTTAATGGTGAATTTTATACTTATCTGAACAGTATCCCAATAGAAATGTTAAAAACATTTTCATTATTTTTTTATTAATAAAGATGGTTTTCTTTCTTCCCAGTTTGTAATGTGTTTTATTTCTCTTGCCTTCATGTGAGTGGGACACCCGTGCGGTGTCGAGCATGGAGGTAGAAGTGTGGCCATCTGTCTATTCTGGTCTGAAAGATGTGTTCCTAGCTGTCGGGTCTTCCTCCAGACCCTCAGAACCTTGTCAGCTGAGGGTTCATCAGCCTGGTTTGCTGAAAATTGTTCTCCGTGGTGACTTGGACTCGCGTTTTCTGCATCTATTGAGATCATCATGCCTGCCTGCCTTCCTTCCTTCCTGCCTTCCTTCCTTCCTTCCTTCCTTCCTTCCTTTTTTTTTTTGTATTTGCTGTTAAATTCATACATATTATTTCTGTGTAGTGCTGGATTGAATTTGTTAGTGTTTTGGTGCGAATTTTTATGTCTCTGTATCTGGAGGGGCATTGGTGTGTGATCTTCTTGTCAGGTTTTGTTCTGTGTTTTTCGGTGCTAGGGATTGAACCCAGGGCCTCAGGCCTGGAAGGCAAGCACTCTTCCACCACCCGGCCCTCTTGTCATGTGCTGATATGAGGGGTATGAGGCATAATTGAGAATACTGTAAGGCATTCCCGTTATACTGACAGTTTTCTTTGTAGGGAATGTTTTTTTGCCATTAAATTGCTTTATCGGATACCTCCTCCTTGATTTGTGGACATTTGGCTTGTGTTTTTGTTTTGGGTCAGTTTGGGTTTGCCTTCAGGACTCTTTCAATTCCATCTGTGTTGTTGAGTCATTGGCAGAGAGCTGCTCGGGGTCTTCTCTCAGCGTCCTGGGCCTGAAGTGAAAGCCCATTTCAGTCCTGATAGTCAGCTCCTCCTGTTTTCATCAGTCAGCCTCATGGAGGGTTGACAATCCGTTCGTCTCTTCCCAGGATCAACTTTTTACTTTGTTGATTTTTTTTCTCTTGTTTTTCTGCTCTGATCTTTATTATTTCATTCCTTCCACTCACTCTAGGTTCAGATCATCAATTTTAAATATTTAAGGCAATGAGTTTCCTTCTGAACTTGGTTTTAGCTGTAACCAGTAAATTTTGATATACTACATTTTAATTTTCATTAAATAGTTTTGCATTTTCCTTGTGATTTCTTGAACCTCTGGGTTTGTAGAAGTGTGCTGTTACATTTCTAACTATTTGGAGGATTTTTTATTTTTTTTTTAGTTGGACACGATGTCTTTGTTTTATTTATTTATTTATTTTACGTAGTGCTAACGATTGAACCCAGGGCCTCACACATGTGAGGCACATGCTCAACCACTGAGCTACAGCCCCAGACCTATCTGGGGGATTTGTAAATATGTTGTTGACGTTGATTTATGATTTACTTCCTCTGTGGTCAGAGCACTTGAGTCTTTTGGAACTCTGGGGCTGGTGTTGGGGTTAAGCATGGGTTAATCTTCATAGATGCCCCACAGGTGTGTGTTCTGGAGTTACTGAGCCTGCCCTTCTCCGAGGGTGAGTTGGTTGTTGTTGTTGTTGAGTTTTCCAACATGGATTTAACTCTGGCCTCGCATTTTCTGTTTGTACCTTCTGTAGTTTAAAATGCTGTGAGTGATGCGCACCTGTCCTTGCTGTGTCTCACTGTTAAAGTGGCCCTTTTGTCATTGGGAAGTGTCCCTCCTTGACCCTTCTTACTAAGGAATGGTTCCTTTGCCTATCACCTCATCCGCGGGAGCAGCCTGCTCCTTGTTTCACGGTCCAGTCCCACCCTGTGTGTCAGGCACGTTTATGTTTCTCTTTGCATTTCTAGCAGATTCCTTAAAGTCTGTGTGATTGCTGAGCATTGAACCACCATCAGACTGTCTATGTCTCTTCCTCGGAGTGTTGTGTGTGTCAGTTTTATCTCATCATCAGTGGCTGGACTTGATGTCACCATCTTGCCACTTGTTTTCTATTTGGGTATCTTTTTGGGGAATGGGGATGGACGCAGGGCCTTGCACATGCTCAGCAGGTGCTCAGTCACACCCCGCCCCATGTCTGGTTTTATTCTTGTTTCTCATTTTCCTTTGGGGTGCATTGTTGTTTTCTCAACAGGATCCTCATGGTTTGGGAGGTTGCAAGTCCAGGATCGGGGCACTCACATACATCGTGGGCTTGGGACATGGCCTCCTCCTTGACTTGTGGATACACTTTCTCTGTCCTCATTGGCAGAGGACATTCATCCCCGGTGTCTGCCAAATGGTTTTTGTTTGTTTGTTTGTTTATTCTACTTATTTCCTCTGTTGACTTTTAGCTTTCCCTCCTTTTGCTTTTCATTTTTCTTACTTATTTTGCAGGCTGGGGCGGGACCCAGGGCCCGTCCCACAGCCACATCCCAGCCCTCTGGTTTTCCAAATGATAACTGCCCATGATGGTGTGTCTTGGACTTGATCATCATGGTCTGCTCTGTTTGATGCTGGTAGTATGTGTAAAAACCAAGAAGATGATTCCACCACCACATACGAGGTGTAGGATAAATGTGAAGTCCAACGTCGCAGCTCTCGGCAGCGCCGTGAGAAGACACTGCCCTCCCCTCTGTGGGGATGCTATGGGGCGTGCCTGTGACCACTCCTCTTGTTCACCTCTGTATCTAGCAGTGCCACACCCTTGTGACTGAGTGATACTGCAGTAGGGAACCTTGTGAGGCCAGTCCCTTGTCTCAGGGTGCATCACTCAGGCATGTGGCCTTGCTGAGCCCACAGGGAGGCTGCAGGTTGGAGAGAAGGCAGCACTCAAGCTTCTTAAAACCTTAGAGTCGGGCCGGCTGTGGCCACATGTACAGCCCAGACCCACCTCTGCTGCTACTGTGAGCCCAGCTATCAAAGTGCAGATCACTTCAGAACCTTCCGGGGCAGGACATGCAGGAGTGGGGCAGAAATCTAGAAAGACCTCATGTGGTCATCACTGCCAACCTTATACTGTAGCCTGTCTCTTCCTCCCTGCTGCTCTCCAGCTCTGGTTCAGGCCAGGGAAAGAAGCTGGCCGCATAGCAGTGGTGTCTGAAGCCTTCCACTTGTGCTCCGGGACTGCCCACCGACCACCTGTGAGTGTGGATTGACGTAGACTTCAGAAGGCAGTCGGGTGTGCACAGTCACATAAGAATGCTGTGTGCCCCAGGGCCTGCTGACTGTCCTTCAGGATCTTCATCTCAAGCTCACACACACACACACACACACCATGTTGACTCTTAGTATGTCAATGGCCAAAAAAAAGAGAGAACACACCACTGGTTAAATGTCAGTCCGTAGGGAGGTAAGATGAATGGCAGTGTCGAGTGAGTGTGAGGTGGGTTTCTGGGCCACCATCAGCCCAGTGAGGTGGAGCCTCTGGGTGCGAAGACCTGGGGACTGCAGGAGTGTCGTGGCACGGTGCAGGAAGCCAGTGTTTCAAGACCACATGGCCTCATCACCTATGGCGAGAAGGACAGGGCTCTGAGATATACATTAGGAAAACAGCAAGCTTCAAACCATGTGTTGGATACCATGTATATAAAAAACAGTAGTGCATTTGTTTTTATGTGTCTGTGCGTTTGTGAAACAGCAAGGGTGTTTGTGAGGGGGTTTGCTCAGGAGGTGTCTTGGCTTTGGCACTGAGAATGCGTGGACTCCAAGCCTGTGTAATCGGGGCCCTGGGAGAGGACTATTTTGAGGCAGAGTCTTCCTCAGGGATGGCGGCAAGAACAGCGGTGACCCATTCTGCTTACGGAGTGGTGGGCTTCCTGTGGGGTCAGGAGCAGGGACCCGGTGAGCCCTTGCCCAGGCCACGTCATTGTGCGTTCCCTGCTGTGTTCCTCCTGTCCCCGGGTGTGAAGTGCAGGTGACAGTGTCTGCCGCCTAGCTTCTTGTGGGCTGAGCCAGTGGTTCTGCTCCAGGTCTTGGAGAGAGTGGCGCCTGCAGGCTGGATCCCTGTCCTCGCTGCTGTGGCCCAGGACTTCCCTGTCAGGTACCGGGTGGACAGGGGCTCCTGGTCGTGGCCTTCTGAGGGAGGCCGGCCCATCCTGCGACTGTGTTGGGGAAGGGTTTCTCTGGGGACCGCGTGGTGCAGTGCAGCCCCCGGCCTTCCGTGGTCCACCTTGATGTCCAGGAAGATCTGGATCCGGGGACTCTGGGAATAGCGTCCTAACTGTTCCTCCCAGGTTTCCTGGGGACAGGGCAGGGAGGTAATGCTTGATGGGTGTGGAGCTTTGGTCCAGAAAGATGAGAAAGTCTGTGGACGAATGGTCTGGCACTTCATCCACCCCCTCCCCCCCCCGCCCCCGCACGTGGGGGAGGTGGCAGAAGTGGTGAATTGATGTCACCTTTTATTTTATTATAATGTAATTTTATTCATTTAAGTTTTATATTTCAGTTTTCTTGATGGTTTGCAAGGGCCTCACACATGCCAGGCAAGTGCAGAGTTAGACCCCAGCCCCTTGCCATCATTTTATAAAGAAAGAAGAGCCGGGATTCCTGGCAGGTTTGCAGGGCCTGTTCAGCTGGCCAATTTCTGTTGGACTTTACCTGGGACAGTAGTGGCTTTTCTGTACAGAAACGGAGTGCTGAGGCCTGGGGGTAGCTCGTGGGTCTGGGGGCTGTTATCTTGGCCACACAGGTCTGGATAGCACAGGGCTGTCTGGGGCAGCGGCCTGGCTGTCACGGCTGAGCAGCCTCCTGGCTCACCTAGGACATGCCTGCCCTTGCATGCCTGGTGCCTTGCCCAGTGCTGGGCTCTGACTCCTGCCCCAGACCACCCCATGGGATGAGTTCAGCTCAGGAGAGAGTGTTCGTGCAGCGTGAGCTCAAGTCCTTTCTTGAATACTGGGTGCCAGTTGCCCTGGTACAGTTTATTGAGAAGTGCCCTGTTCTCTGTTTTGCTGCTTCTAGATAAGCACGGTGGCTCTTAGCATGGCAGGTTTCTTTGGTATTGTTTGGTCCTGAACTGCCTCATCTGCCTGGAGAGGTGAGGGCCAAGGCTTGGTGTCAGGACTTCCTTAGACAGCATGGGTAAGCAGCAGGTAGCTAATGAGGTGAAACATGCCCCAGAAGCCCCTGAGATGCCAGGAATATGTGCCAAGCAAAGGCCTCCAGAAGCGGAAGCCGGGAAGGTGAGGGGCTGCTGTTCTAAGCCTCCAAGCCACGGGCAGCCAAGTCCTGGCCATTTGCGGTGTTCTGCACATGTGTGCTGGGTGCAGAGGGCACACAGAGAGCCCTCCGGCCCGCTGCACGCCGAGCAGCAGAACAGCATGGTTGTGTTCATCGGGTTTGTGCTGAGGTGACGCCAGAGGAGCACAGAATGCTGAGACCTCACTTGCTGCCTATGCAGGTGGGCTGGGTCTTGGCAGGGACAGCTGGGCCATGCCGCTCTGGGCTTTGAGTCAACTTCAAGGTCTTCATTCTTGGTAAGGACATGGGACACATTGGTCTGATGATCCCAAGAGCACCAAAGGCCAAGCTAGTCACATGAGACCCACGACTGAACCCCACAGGGGTATCCCCTGTATGCTGCGGGGGCCCTGCACAGTCATGGCAGAGACACTGTGTCTAATCTACAACTTTGGGATGAGAACCCCATCAGTGCCACTCTTTAGGGTGCCCGAGAGTTCTGGAGGTTCCAGAGGTACCTGTTGTCTGCTGTGGGTACGTGTACTTGCACGACCAGATTGAACAGGGATTAGCCCACTGCAGGTTCTAGGTGGTGGTTACAGAAGAGAGTGAAAACTCGCGTCCCTAAAACGAAGCTCGGATCTTAGGAGGCTTGTTAAAAGTCAGTGTCGGAAGGGTGCTGTCCGGCTGTGCTCGTTCCTTGATGTTTATGGTCATTGACTTGAATTCTTTGTTTCAGGGAAATAGTGGAACATATGGTCCAGCACTTTAAAACACAGATCTTTGGGGATCGGAAGCCAGTGTTTGATGGAAGGAAGAATCTTTACACAGCTATGCCCCTTCCAATTGGGAGGGATAAGGTAAGGCCATTAATTGGGTAAAGTGCATTGGAATGCAGTGCAGATGGTTTGAAGTTAATTCTTCTTATCACATACTGCATCATTTTACCAGGAGAAAAGGCGGCTAATTGCCTATGTGCTTTATCCTGAGCCCCATGGAAACCACCTTCCATGTGGTACAGTTCACAGTGATCATGGGTTAGATACAGAGCACACCACTCCACACAGTACATGTGCACCCCAAATGCAGGCCCCAGACAGCACCAGGCGAGGCCCGGGGATGAGTGTGTCTATGGCTGGGGTGTAGCGTGACATGAGTGTGCCAGGCCTTCGTGGGCCTTGGGCTTATCCCCATCATCTCCACGAAAGAAGTGTGCTCACACGGGGTAGTGTATGTTACTGGCAGTAAAACAAAGTGCACGTTCTGCTGTAGCCAGTGATCAAGGGGACTCAGAAGAGGGTATCTGTCAAGTCACACAGGTAGTGACATTAAAATGCCTCCTTTTCTCATGATCTTTATCCTTACTGTGGCTTTGTTTAAAAAGTAATAAAATCTCTCCCTGGAAGCTGTCATTTCTTGGCATCAGCTTTTAACAAATGTGCTGCTGCTCTAGGATGATAGTGGGTGTTTGTAAGTTCAGAAGGAGCAGAGACCAGCTAAGGAATAACCCTTACACATACTGTAACAAACACTAGAAAAACAAGCCACTTACCAGCTGTGGGAAGGTGCCAGCTGATCCCTTCTGGGAAGGACATACAGGACCAGCCCCTTCAGCCCCGGGTCCCTGAGGAAGAAAAGACTTGCCATCTCAAACTGCGGTTCCTCTACAGAGGTGGAGATGTTTTGTGCTTTTGCATCTGAATAATGATCTTAAAGCAGGTGAGCTCCGTAGCTGCTCCAGCTTGTCTGCCTCTGCTGCAGGCCCTCTGCGCACAGCGCTGTGTGCTGAAAGGCGGGCTGTGCGTTAGGAGGCTGGAGGCCAGGTGCCATCCACGCCCGGCTCTGTTCAGTGTGCTCTGGTCTCATGGTGATTCCCGGAGTCACCAGTGGTGTGTGGGTTGTTGTTGCCAGCTCAGGGTGGTGGAAGGCCTGTCCCAGGTTGGAGGGCATCCAGGATGGATGCAAACAGGCTGAGTGTGATCTCCTTTGCAGATCAACATGCTGTGATGTGAGTTATTGATCTTAAAAAAATTTATGTTTAATTTACATTTATTTTGGTTTAAATTTATATAAGAAAGAAAAGCATAAGGAGATGATTCACAGTTTTGTTTGTACGTATTTAAAATTAGACACCAGGAGGACATGAGGAGAGCTTTCCTTAAGAAGGTGTCGGGGAGTCTCTGTTGCTCAAATTCGAAACGAGTCATTGTGAAAGTCAATCCCAAAGTAGATTTGCCCCTCTTGGTGCTGGGACCCTGGCACAGCCTCCACCAGCAAGACTCAGTATCCCCTCAACAGCACTAGAGGTCAAATTGTGCTGGAAGGCACACCCAGGAAGGATGGGTCCGCCTGAGATTCTAGTGGCTCTGGGGCTCTGCGTTTCCAGCTAGTCCCCAATGCTACACTGATCCCTGCATCTCATTCTGCATTCCCTGCCAGGACGTGGTAGCACTCGACAGGTACTTGGTTGCTGTTACTGCTCTGTCATCCTGGCCCAGGTCCAGAGCATCCTTTGGCGTGCCGAGTGCCTGCAGTGGCCTTCATGCACCCAGCTGACACCTCCGGGGCTCATGACCTCCCAGAGACCTGGGTGCAGCCTGCTCCAGTGGGCATGGTCTCCCCTTCTTGCCACACCCCTCCCACTTGTTGGCACGGTTCTGCCACACACCTGTGGGACAGTGAGGTGAAGCCTTTTTGTCAGAGCTAAGAGCCGTCCCCTTTCCTGTACCCGTGCTGCTGTGTGGCATGGAGCAGAGTCATCTTTGGGGCTTTTCTTTGTTTTTGCTTTTCATCACCTGTAGTAAGGGAAGGATCTCCAGCTGTCCCTCTAACCCCTGTCTGCCCAGAGGCTCAGTGGGGACTTTGGTAGCGCTTGCCTGGGCTCTGCGTGATGTCCAAGCACAACACCTGTTTGAGGTGGCTTCCCTCTAGACCTTTCCTTAATCCCTCCCACTTGTGTATTTACCTGCCTGCTTTTCCTCCCTGTGGAAAGAAGCCAAGAGACTCCTCACCACCCAGGCCTGCACCCTCACCTTCAAAGTAAGAGACAGACTCGGAAAGTTGTAAGCATCACGCAGGGGTCCCGTGTACCTTGCAGATGCACTTGCTGAGACTCTTATTTTTTTTTTCTTTTTTTTTCTTTTTTTATTGTTGGTCGTTCAAAACATTACATAGTTCTTGATATATCATATTTCACAGTTTGATTCAAGTGGGTTATGAACTTGAGACTCGTTTTCATCCCTCGTATCTGAAGGGACGGTGATCTGCTTTTCAAGGTGATTGGTGGCTGTGCAATCATAGAAGCCCTTTAGACAGTAGCTCCTTGGTCACATTTCAGTAGGATGTTACCTGCAGCTGCATCTCTTTCCCAGACTGGCTGGTGCAGGGGTGTGACACCCTCCCTGGGTCCAGGAGGGTCCTGGCCATGCCAGCCCACCTGCTAGAGCTGCCTCTCCTTCTCTCCAGGGCACCTCCAGGCCTCTGTGCCAGAATGCCTGGGAACACAGCTGCTACACTGAGTAGCTCGCTGTCCCCAGGCTCACACACGTGTTGTTTTGTGTTCTTCAAAGTGTCATTTTCCTTCTGTTGCTTCTTAGTTGTGTAGTGGCACTGAAGCAACTCTGATGACCTCTGAGCAGGGTCACTTACCTGGGCCGCAGCTTGGTGCTGCGTGCTGACGTTTTGGTTGTCCATGTTCAGAAGTGACAGTCATGGTGTCCCTACAGCACAGACAGCCTCCTGCAGCCCTGTGCTTACTCCTCATGTGCAGAAGGGCCTAATGGAGCCACCTGCCATGATCAGGCCTTAGGGTCACAGGAACGTGCTTCAGTTGGGGCTCTTGGAATGCTGTGTTAATGGGGCCCAGATATTGCTGTGCCATGGGCACAGCCAGTAGCCCAGACACAAATGAGGGCTGCTCTCCAGAAGCTGCCAGGCCACTCTGCCTAGGAGGGGATGAACTGGCCAGCCTCTACCCTAAATGACTGCACGCCTCTCCAGAGGGTGTTGCCAAGCCCAGGGTGGGCATTGCAGCTTTTTTTGTGTGGCCAAGAGGAGATTGGGCTGGAACATATTAAGAATGTAAGTATAGCTAGTTGCAGTAGCTCACGCCAGTAATACCAGTGACACGAGACTGAGGCAAGGGGATTGCAAATTCAAGGTCATCCTCAGCAGCCTAACAAGACTCTGTTTTCAAATAAAAATAAGAAGGGCTGGGGGTGTAGCTCAGTGGTAGAGCACCTAGGGGTGCTCTATACCCTATACTTTGAAAGTATAGGGTCCTCAGTTTTGATTCTAGAGGCATTTTTAAGAATGACATTAATAAGCATCTGATAGGTACCACTTCTTTGCGTATTCTTCACATCTGTGGAGATGTGTGTGGTAGAGGTGAGCAGGTTCAAAGTCCCCACTGTGGAGGTGGGCGTGCCACTGAGAGACCTGCATGCTGGTTTCCATTCCCACGGGCACTCTGCTCCAGTCACCTCTGTGGTGGAGCCTCATGCAGGTCTCTGCCAGTCCTGCATGGCAGCCCGGTCCCATCACAGCTCCACAAGGTAGGGACAACCCTTCTGCTTCCTGCCCCTGTGGTCCCAGAAGCTCACTCAGCCGCTCTGGATCTCAAGGCCGTGGCTGTAACGGGAGAAGACGCCTACTGCATTATCAGTGCTGCATCAGATGACTGACTGCAGCTTTTACCAAAAGTGGAAATAAACCCACGTACCCACCATCCACACTTAGCCCCCAGTGCCCTCTCACGTACCCTCCCTGTCGCGGTGACTCGGGCTGGTCCACCCTGACTTCTAGTGAACGTGCCCCTCTCATTGTTTTGCTTAGTCTGGTTTTGAAGTCTGCAGGGAATCAGGTGCAGTGCCCTTGGTGGTTCTTCCTTTCCCCAGAGTTAGAGTTTGAAGACCACCAGCCTTAAAACTTTCCACAGCCCCCTCCCCCAGCAGATGGACTTCGGGCACTTTCCAGTTTGGAGTCTCAGGTGCAGTGGAGCCCCAGGTGTGGCCAGGTGTGAGGGCACAGCTGGAGGCCAAGGCTCGAATATAAAGCATGTGCAGAGCAGCAGTGGGTTTTGATCTTTGCCCTTGGGAGGCTCAAGCAAGGAGTGGCAGGTGGGACAGGAGGGAAGGCTGTGTAGAGGAGGCTGATGAGCAGCTGGGAGCAGAGTGTGTTTGGCCTGTGAGTGAGCGAATGCCCAGGACAGTCGGATCACACTCAACCAGGACTCCGAGGCTGAACAGGATATGCAGGGTACCTGAGTTGGGAAGGGTGCTACAAGCACATGGGGCAGAGGCAGCAGGTACAGGGCATGAGGTGGGCCTGTGGCTGGGTCCATGCATCTGAGTCACATGCCTGAGGGTGCCTGAGGTCCTCGTAGCCCAGGCATCATGTGCTGAGTGGAAAGGCCTCAGTGCAAACCAGCCTGGTTCCAATTCCATCCCTGCCCGTGCATGTTGCTGTGGCCCCGGGCTGTTTGTAAAGTCTGAGTGTGTTTAAAAGAAGGCGAGCCTTGTCTCCCTTGCTGGGATTTCTGGCATTTGAGGATAAAATGTAGGTAGTCCATAAATGTCAGTGATGACTCCAGAGGTGTTGGGAAGTGTCATCAGCAGCGTGAAGCTACTGTAGCCCGCCTCTACCCTAAGTGACTCCCTGGGGGCTTTGTGTGTACCACAGTCAGGACATGCTGATGGCCTGGTGGCACTCAAGCCGCAGGTTTTAAGTGGTGGGGCCAAGCGAGCAGGTGATGTCAGGCCTGTCCTCTTGTGTAGCAAGGCAGGTGCGTGAAGGGTGATCTAGAGGCCCTCCCTGAGGGAAGAGTGGCTTTTTTTGCTAAGCACCAACCCAAGTGCGAGTCTTGGACCGTTGTTCTTTATGTGCGCCACTTGCCACAAGCAGCTGTGTAGACAGGCTTTCACTACAAGGCAACTCGGCTAGAAATTCAGTTTCCTGATCACACTTGACGTGCTCAGTAGCCATGTGTGGCCAGAGGATGGGTAAACAGCTTCAGGGAGTGTCTGTGCCTGCCCACTGCCAGCTATCCTCCTTTTCAGGAGGGAATGACTGTGCTTCTGACCTTCTGCAGGTGGAGCTGGAGGTCACACTGCCCGGAGAAGGCAAAGATCGAATCTTCAAGGTGTCCATCAAGTGGGTGTCCTGTGTGAGCCTGCAGGCCTTGCATGACGCACTTTCAGGGCGTCTGCCCAGTGTCCCTTTTGAGACGATCCAGGCCCTGGATGTGGTCATGAGGCATCTGCCATCCATGAGGTAAGGGTGCCAGGGGAACCAGGGCTGAGGCGTCGGTTTCTCATCCCAGGGTGCTCGGAGGCTCCGAGAGTTGGCGGGTGTTCTGTGTGAAGGCAGTAGACAGTGCTGGCGTGGAAAGCATCCCATGTTACAATGAATCACCTGCATTCTCAGCCAAGCACAACAAGGTCACCTCAAGGTCACCTCCCTGTCTCTGTATGCCACATGCGTGGATACATTTCCACAGACCCCCCTGGAGGATCCTGTGGTGCTCCTGTGCTTGTCTCCCCTGGAGTCACAGTATGTTATTGAGCAGCAGGTCTACCCCACAGAAACCTTCTCCACAGCTTTTCATGACTGTGGACAGCAGAATAGAGGCCTCAGACTTTTTTGGGGGGCGGGGGTGTCTGGGGATTGAACCTAGGTACTCTACCATTGAGCCACATCCCCAGGCCTTTTTATTTATTGAGATAGGACCTCACTAAGTTCCCTTGGCTGGCCTTGAACTTGTAATCCTCCTGGCATAGCCTCCTGAGGAGGGATTACAGACATAAGCCACCAGACCCAGCTGCAGCCCCCAGACTTCTTGTTTCATTCTGTGGGATTAGCTTTTTACCACAAGTTGCTGCACTTATTGTTGCTGGGAATAAGGGCAGGTGAACATTTTAATGAGTCCTCATTTGCCCAGTTGCTGGGCAGAGGGTTGTGCTAATTTCTGTGGGACCAGCTTAGAGGAGTGAGGCCGTCTCCCTACATCCAGACCTGGGTCTGCACACCAGTGCCGTGCCCGCCTCCCCCAGCCCCGCCACACACACACACACACACACACACACACACACACACACACACACATTTGGCACATAGTGGGACCTCAGCAGCTATATGAATGGCTCTGTGAAAAGCAAAAACTGGAGGTTGGGTTGTGGCTCAGCCGTAGAGCGCTTGCCTGTGCGTGTGGGGCCCTGGGTTTGATCCTCAGCACGGACGTAAAAATAAATAAATAAATGTAGTGTGTCCAACTACATATATACTATATATATATTTAAAAAAAAGAAGAGCAGAAACCTCAAACTGAACCAGCTCCACTCCAAGTGCCCCCGGGGCTGAGCACACTCTCAACTGAGGAGGGAGTGGAAGGTCCCTTCCATCCATGGAGAGGCCTGTGGAGGTGACCATACCCAGGACCAGCTGACACTGCTGGGGCCTTGGCATATAATCTGCCACTGTCTGGACTGATAACGCTTCTCTCAGTACGGTTCTTGGTGCTGTGGATGGGGGAGAGGCAGTGTGTGTGTGTAGAAGGAAACATCCAGAAGGGTAGTTGTTGAAATGTTGTCTGTATCTTTCATTGAGTGGCAGGAATGACTGTAGTGATCTTGTTTCTGAAGTCTTTTGGGTGATTTACATTGATTTTATAGCAGGAAGAAATGGTTATTTTCATTTTGGAAAAAACAATAGGAATAGTGGCAGATTTAACACATCTTAGGTGGAAAATGAAAAGGACCACGTGATCTTTAAGACTGTGACCCACATGCATCTCTGCTGGACCGCGCATCCTCCTTCGGGTCATGCGTGGTGGCACACCCCAGGCAGCCCGTAGGCAAGGTTGCTCTGGAGAATGTATCCAGGTGGTCCTGGCTTGGGCCAGCACTCCAGACAGTTGTAACCCCAGGCATGTGGATCTCCCTGTGCTGACCTTACTGTCCCCTGTGCATAAGCTTCAGCCCTGCCCCTGGGTGCCTGGTGCCTGGGAAGCACTCAGTAAACGGCTGAGCAAAATGGGAAATAAATGCTGGGTTGTGCATCTCTGTGGCATCCTCAGCAACCACACCGTTCGAAGCAACGTCTCCCCAAGGCCTGGGGCTGGCCAGTCCAGCTGCCTCAGCCTGGTAGTTGTTGGCACTTGGAAAATGCTCACATCCGTCTGTCTGCCCCATGTATTTGATACAGCCCTGTTCTAGAGTTGACATGCATAGCTGCTATTCTTAAGATGAGCAGTAAGTGTGATGGCCTTGAGGTGGGCGGGGAAATACCAGGCAATGCCGGGACTCTGAATGTACCTTGAGGCTCTGAGCCACAGCCAGAACCTTCCCAAGTTGCCTCTGTCTTTGTAGACTCACAAAAGAGCACCCTCTAGTTCCAGCCATGTGGCCCCCAGGGTCTCAGGCCATCTGGCACCAGCACTGAGGAGAGTGGTCCCCTGGATCTCCATGCTGTGTAATAGGTTAAACATCTCATGCTGTCCCTACTGCAAGGCCACAAGTCCCCAGGGCTGTTGCCCGCACAGTGTCCCTCAGTCGGCTGTGAACACAGCCTGGAGTACAGTATGGTAAAAGCAACCTTACAGAAGAACAAAACAGAATGATTGGAGTGTGTCTGCCTGCTGGCTGACGTGGAAGGAGGGCGGGTGCGGTCGGCCTGCCCCTGCTGGGCTGTGCTCTCATCAGGCGAGGCCTCTGTGGTTGCAGGTACACCCCCGTGGGTCGCTCTTTTTTCACTGCCTCTGAGGGCTGCTCCAATCCTCTTGGTGGGGGCCGAGAAGTGTGGTTTGGCTTCCATCAATCCGTCCGACCTTCTCTTTGGAAAATGATGCTGAATATAGATGGTAAGCAAAGCCCTGGGCCCTAACTGTGGGTGGGTTGGGGAACATGTGGAGGAGCCAAGACCTTGGGGAGCACTCTTGTGGCCAGCTCCAAAAATGGCTTATGGCAATCTTATGGTATCTTGACACCTGGCTTGTGTCACCTGTGTGTAGGTCAGGAGTGGTTCTCAGAGACATCGTAGCCCTGGGAGGCTGAGGTGGCCCGAGGAGCTGCCTCTGCCATGGCCCTTGGTGTTACTGAGGTCACCAGGCGTAGGGTTGGCACTGCATGCCTGACTTCTCACCCTCGTATCTCAGGCTTGCAAGTTGCTGCAAGGTTCGAGTACAGTCGGGGCCAGCCGTGTCTGGCCACCCTTAGCAGGTCTTTCCCAAGTCATAGCCACAGCTTTCCCAAGTTGCCCCTGTCTTTGTAGACTCACAAAAGAGCACCGTCTGCGCACCAGCCATGCGTGGGCGTGGCTGTGCCTTCCTGAGGATGGTTGCTCCTCAGTGTTGGGCCTCCATCTGTTCTCTGCTAACAAGACAAGAGTGAAGTTCAGAAAAAAGAATTCTCGTGTGAGAGTTAGCTACTATGGAAAGCTCTAGAAAGGCCCCAAGATGCTATCTTGCTCAGATACACATTTATTAAAGGATGATTATATAAAGGGACCAATACTTCTAGAAGTGTCTGCTTCAGAGGTATCTAGAAAACCCCAGCTGTCATGATTGTCAGGCTTTATTTTTTAAGAACTAGTTTTTATTGTCACTGACTTCTTCACTGAGGCTCAGCCAATCCCTGGGTCTTGGTCCCGCCCCCTCTCCGGTGGGGACCCTGGGTGGCGGGCTGGCCTGCAGAAGCCTCTGGTTGCCAGGACCCACCTGCAGGGGCACAGACGAGCCTCAGCTCTCCTTTCCTGCCCACAGTGTCGGCCACAGCGTTTTACAAGGCACAGCCAGTAATTGAGTTCGTTTGTGAAGTTTTGGATTTTAAAAGTATTGAAGAACAACAAAAACCTCTGACAGATTCCCAAAGGGTAAAGTTTACCAAAGAAATTAAAGGTAATGAGCAACCCACCCCCACCTCCAGGGTACAGGGCTGGGCAGCCCTTCCTGGCCCGCTGGCCTCTGAGTTCTTATTTCTTTGCATGTGGAGGGAGGTGGAAGTGGCAGGAGAAGGTAGCCGTCAGCTCTCCTGGTGGCGATGGCCGGAATCCATTCCACAGCCAGAATGGTCATTTTCTAGATAAATGCAGCTGTCTTTGTGGGATGGGGTGGGGAGGGACAGCTGATGGGTCAGTGCTGTCTGAGTCGCGGATGGAGGACTGGAAACTCCCTCAGAGTGCCAGCATGGCCGCACCTGGGCTGTCCTCTCCAGACCGCAGGATGCCTTCTGGCCCTCACATTGACGGTGCCTTCTCAGCCTGGCATCCGCTCTAGGAGGTGTGGGTCCAGGATTCCAGGATTTTCTTGGGGCCCCCTGCCCATCAGTGGCAGTGCTGGCTGCACCTGCCATCAAAGGGCTGTCAGCATTGCTGATGTCATATGGTGGCCCCATGGGGGGCAGAGGAGCCTGCACCCCAGGGACGGAGATGCTGTGTCCTCAGCGTCAAGTTTCCCTGCAGGGAAGTGGACTCCACCTCTGTGGTAGCCTGTGTTCCCCTCCTCGGGGAATCCTGCAGCAGATTTGGAACCCCCGTGTCTGGGTCTGCGGACACAGTCCCTGTGAAAACCGACTCTGAAGGGGAGTTCAGCCTGCACGCTCACACTGTCTGTGCTGGTCCCCCAGGTCTAAAGGTGGAGATAACGCACTGTGGGCAGATGAAGAGGAAGTACCGCGTCTGCAACGTGACCAGGCGGCCTGCCAGCCACCAAACGTAAGATGGCTACCCCTTCAAATTCCGGGGCCTTGGTCCTCCTGGGGGTCGTTTGTTTTGCTTTTGCGTGACAGTACCCTACTTCATATGGCTGTTCAGGTCCCAGAGTTCACCTGATAAAATAGACTCAAACAGTAGAGTTCCACCTGTGAAGGGTAGTGGTGGGCAGGGAGAAGAAGTGGGGCTGGGAACAGTGGGCGGCTGTGGACACGGTCCTCACCCTCGGGGCCACCAGGCCTAGACTGCCCCATCTGGCTGCCTGGCGTGTGTCTTCTGCTGTCTCCTCACGTGGACCACGTGCTTCAGTGTCCACAGCTGTGCCTGCCACATAGGTGGTGTTTTTGCCTTTGTTTTTAGTTGTAGATGGACACAGTACCTTTATTTATTTGTTTGTTTTTATGTGGTGTTGAGGATCAAACTCAGTGCCTCACATGTGCTAAGCAAGCACTCCACCACTGAGCTACATTCCCAGCCCTGAGTATGTGTTTGTGTGTCAGGGGGATGATGGGTTTGGACCCTGTGCCTATCTGGGGTCTACTGAGCCCAGTGAGGCCTTGTCTTGTCGTCTTGTATGGTAACCCCTAGCCTGTGGCACAGCACTGGGGGTACTGACATGGAGTAGTAGGGGGAGCTCAGCCGGGTTTGGGCCTAATGCCGTCTATGTCTGGGCAGAGGCTGCAGATTGCCTGGGCATGCTAGATGGAGCAGAGGCGTCAGCACAGAAAGGCTGTGCCATGTGGCCTTGTCCCCTGGTGGGGCTGTCCTCCCCAATGTGGAGAACATCAGCTGGCTCTCCCATCCTGGTCCCCTGCATCTCCTCCTGCCTCAGCCACACATAGGGCAGTGCACACGTGAACAGTGGGGCTTGCTGGGACCTGAACACAGGAGTGACTCTCAGAGTCACTGTGGTCTTTTGGGAAGCACACAGGCCTTGGTTTCTAGATTTGTCTTTGTTTATCATGAATTATTTTTTTCCCTGTATACATATGGTTAACTTCTGACTGTTGTGTCTTTGTGTAGGGGTATTCTTTATTTTCCTCCGGTGGAGACAGAATGAGAATTGTGGGCTCTGGAATAGTTGAGGTCAACTAGGAGATAGGGCTTGGCTTCTACTCCCAGAAATCCTTGAGCATTTCTTCCCACACATCATCCCAGCAAAGCAAGCACAGTGACACAGCCCTGGGTGGGCACCTGCGGACTCCAGCAGTTGCTCCAGGGATCCCAGGATATTCTTGTCTGAGCCGCCTCTTTGCCTTCAGGTTCCCCCTACAGCAGGAGAGTGGGCAGACGGTGGAATGCACAGTGGCCCAGTACTTCAAGGACAGGCACAAGCTGGTTCTGCGCTACCCCCACCTCCCGTGTTTACAAGTCGGACAGGAGCAGAAACACACCTACCTTCCCTTGGAGGCAAGTGGCTTGGAGGAGAGAGTGCACTGGGCCAGGCCTGGCCATCTCAGGAACAACACGGTCCCAGCTTGGTCACCGTCTGGTGTATGGTACCCTGGGCGAGTTATCGGGTGTTGCCAAACCTTGGTTTCCCTTTACGGGGACTGGACCAGCAGCTCTAGTGGGATTGGTGTGTGGGTGAATGAGGTCTAGGGCCTGTGCCCAGCAGGAAGTAAGTCAGGGCTCTATGCCCGAGCCAGGTGTTCCCTTTCCATCCAGAGTAAGGCTGCTTGGGAACTGCTTTCCTTGGGGAAAGATCCACACTGCGCCACAAGCCACGTTAACTCATCCTTGCACGTCAGTCTTCAGATGGCACAGGGCCTTGGGCAGCTGGTTTCACATTCACACACTTCACGTTGGTACTGCTGAGGATTTGAGATGGCCTGGGGACTCTCGAGGCTGGAGTCGGTGCCATCATGTGCCCATGGTGTGCCCGTGGTGCCGTGCTGGGTTTCCTCAGCGTGGGTGCTGTGGTGAGCCAGAAGGCCTGCAGCACCTCTCTTCCAGTGTGGGTGCTTGTCCTCCACTGCTGAGGCCCCCTTTGCTTCCTGGCTGCACACGGCATAGGTGCTGACTCCTTTCCTCATCCCTTCTGTAGGTCTGTAACATAGTAGCAGGACAGAGATGTATAAAAAAACTAACCGACAATCAGACCTCAACTATGATCAGAGCGACTGCCCGGTCAGCGCCCGATAGGCAAGAAGAGATCAGCAAATTGGTGAGCATGTGTCCTGAGGCTGGACCTGGGGTGGGCACCAAGGCTCGGAGACCTCCTGTGCATTAGACAGATGTGGCCACTGGAAAGAACAGAGGCCTGTCTGACTCCAGGCTTTCTCTCCTTTCCCTTTTCAAGATGCGAAGTGCAAGTTTCAACACAGACCCATATGTCCGTGAGTTTGGAATCATGGTGAAAGACGAGATGACTGATGTGACGGGGCGGGTCCTACAGCCACCCTCCATCCTCTACGGAGGCCGGGTAGGTGCGCAGGGGCCAGGGACAGGTCTGCTGGTGCTGTGGAGCAGCGGTCTCTGAGGAGGAAAGACCTGACAAGGACTTGACTTCCCTGGGGCCTTGGGGAAGGTTGCAGAATAGTCCGTGATGCCTCAGAATCCCGTGTCGTTCCTCCTGTCGTCAGTGCTCTCTGGTTCTGAACTCTTCTCTAGAGGCTTATCCTGTTTCCTCCTCTTTAGCTTTTGCTTCACGGGTATTTGGTGGCAAGCATGGCACCTTAGGTGTTTGGTGTGTGTGTGTGAGTGTGAGTGTGTGTCTTTTTTTCTTTTTTCCTGTTACTAGGGAGTGAACCCAGGGCCTTTTATATGCCAGGCATTACACTAGCACTGAGCCACACCTGCAGCCCTTTTCTTTTTAATTTTATTTTGAGACAGGCTCACTAAGTTGCCCAAGCCGGCCTCTAACCTGTGGACCTCTTCTTTCAGCCCCTCAAGTTGCTAGACTTATAGGCCTGGGCGCCATGCACTTAGTTTTTGCAAGTTTAACCTGGATTTTTTGTTGTTGTGTGTGTGTCTGTAGTGACTGTGTGTGTGCCAAGATATCTTGACCACTGAGCATGGTAGGGCTCATAAGAAGAGTCTCCTCATTTCCTCTGGGGTGCACAACCTGGAGCACTCTCTGGTCAGGGCCCTCTGGACAGAGACCGGGTGATGACCCTGGGAGCAATGCCTAGGCCTTTGGGCCTGAGCATCCAGAGGTACCTAGTCCACGTCGACGGATCTTGGGGGAGGAGTCTACCTGTCTTTGTTCCCTTTTTACGTACTAAAACTTCAAGCTGTAGTCTTTGAGATCTGTAATGGGACTTTATTTTTGCTGCTGGTGCAGGCTAGGATGTGAATCCAGAGTTGCCCTCCAGGAAAACCATGATGTCATCTTTCTCATTTGTAAAACCACCCAGGGGTTATTATATATTTTTTCATGCCTTTTTGTTCATATCAAGTACACTCTGTGCCCTGCCTCTTGTCACTGTCCTGTTTACTCTCACAGCTCACAGAGGGCTCACAGGTCATCTGTGTTATGAGACGAGATTCTGATTCTTGGTGACGGTTGTGTGGTATTCCACTGCTGAACACGGGCCACAGGATGCTCCCTGTCCTGAAAGGACTTCTGAGCAGGCCTCCTGCTGTGGGCCTGGACACTGTATAAACAGCACCTGTCTCCCTCCAGGTGGCTCCAGGGTGGTCCCAGGGCCGGCCAGGTGGTGGAATGAAGACTTCAAGCCCAGACCTTAGACTTGTTTGCCTCTCTGGCATCCTCATTGATAGCAGAGGAGGTGACATCAGGGGCACATTCCATATAGCAGGAAGCCTTGCTGTGTCCTCTCAAGACACTGTGTCCCACCAGGCTGTTTAGGAGGCTGGATGGAGATTGGGGCCCTTCCTGATCTCCAGGGTTAGCTTCCATACACCCCACACCCATCCATTCTTCCTACAACTCTCCATGCACACCCCACCCTGCCTCCGTCTCCCCTCCACCTGCCACACGTCCACCTGTCAGTTATCCAGCTCCTCCCCAAACACCCGCCATCTGTGGTCCACCCATTCTGCAGATAGGTGCAGGTTGCCTGTGGCACCGGGAGAGACAGGAGACAATAGACAGGTTAAGTTTTTGCCCTCAAGTCATTCTTGATCAGGGGAATGTGTTCGCCATTGTTTCTCACTCTACACTTCTTGATGCTTGCAGAACAAAGCAATTGCCACCCCTGTCCAGGGTGTCTGGGATATGAGGAACAAGCAGTTCCACACAGGCATCGAGATCAAGGTGTGGGCCATTGCCTGCTTCGCCCCCCAGCGCCAGTGCACGGAAGTCCATCTTAAGTAAGCTTGAAAACCAGACATGCCTGGCAGTGGTTCTGGGGTGGGGGGTGGTAATCAAGTGACTTCTTGAAAGATCAACTCTGATCGGGCGGCAGGGTGTCTACTAGGGTCCCCATGTCAGGGCTTGTCAGCCTTTCCCTATCAGAACACATGGTGGGGCAGCCAGATCAGGAGCTGCAGCCCTCTTGGTGTGCATCTTACCCACAGGACCACTGTGAACATGGGCACGAGCAGGTAGTACAGATTACAGACAATACCTGCCGAGAGAGTTTAAAATGTAGACAGCAGGCACAGTGACGTACCTATAATCCCTATAACCTGGGAGACTAAGGCAGGAGCACTGCAAGTTTGAGGCCAGCCTTGGCAACTTAGCAAGACCTGTCTCAAAAAAATATTAAAATGGGCTGGTGATTGGCTCAAGATCAAGCCTGGTGTAGTGGCAATACCTGTAGTCCAGCTGCTCAGGACTGAGCCTCGAAATCAGCCTGGGCAACCTAGCAAGTGCCTTTCTCACAAAACAAAATAAGTAAATTAATAAATTAGAAACAACAGAGGAAGTTGGATCCATGAACCAAATTTTTAAAAAATACTTTAATTTGATACATATATAAACTGAGAACACAAGACGGGGCTGATGGTAAAATAAGGAGGTGGCAAGGCTGGGAGTGTCTTCTTCCTCCCTGCTCAAGAGGGGAGAGAGAGCAAGAGCGTGAGGTCGTTTGCTGTGTGCTGTGCAGGACCACTCAGCAGAGGAGCACTGGGAGGGACCAGTCCTGACCGGCTGTCAGGAAACACAGTTTTGTGGTTCGTGCGGTTGTCCTTCTCCCCATCTGGGGGGGGTAGAAGGGGGAAATCCCAAAGCCCATGAGTATAGCTGACAACTTGACCAAACCAGCCAGGGCCAGAGTCCATCATCTCCCGGAGGCTGCACTGCTGGCAGAATGGGCTGGAATCACGGAGGACTCTGGGGACAGGTGAGAGCCTGGGTGCCACCTGTCCATGGTCCTCCATCCCTTCCTCTGGCTTTCACCTGGAGCTCCGTGGTGCTAAGGCATGGTCACATGTAGATAATAGTGCAGAGGCAGGACGTGTGGGGAACTGGACACTGACACGCTGTGCTGGAGCACACTGTCCTCTGCCTGATGGTAGAAAACGACGCAGGGTTCATCCCTGAGCTCCACAGAGAAGCAGTAGATCCTTGTCCCACCAGCTGAGCTTCCAGGCCCGTTGGCTGTGGCTGTGGGTGGTTCTCTTTCCTGTTATGGTTGTGTCAAGTCCAGCCCGTGTCCCCAGGAATAGTGGGCGAATCTAGGATGACGGCGCACAGGTCGTCTTCTGTACTCTCTGTGCCTTCATTCCGGTGGGGAAACCAAGCTCTCACCTGACACAGGGACTGCCCTGGCCTACAGCGGAGCAGCAGCAGCTTGGCACCGTCCTGTGAAAGGGCACCTCTGCACCCTGGGAGTGTCGGCCTGAGAGGCGACATGAGTACAAGTTGGAGTCCCTGCTTGGTCCCGGCCCTGCCTCCGTCGTCCCTTTCTGGTAGCCCCCTGGATGGTTGCATGTCAGCTCTTTCATGGGCTGATGTTTCAGCACACACTGCTTTGAATTCTGGCCCTGTCTGAGACTTAATTTAAAAACTTAACTCTGACCTCTGTAAATGTACTTTTGGCTTCATGAACCTTGTGCTCTTTATTCAGGACCTCTGGTTGGTATAAATTCTTTTGCCACTAGCTGTGTGTTTTAATGAAATGGACCTTCTTCCCCAGGTCCTTCACAGAGCAACTTCGAAAGATCTCAAGAGATGCTGGAATGCCTATCCAGGGCCAGCCGTGCTTCTGCAAATATGCCCAGGGGGCGGACAGTGTGGAGCCCATGTTCCGGCACCTGAAGAATACATACGCTGGCCTGCAGCTGGTGGTGGTCATCCTGCCTGGCAAGACCCCAGTCTATGGTGGGTATCTGGTGACTGTTGGATTCAGGGGCCATGGTGGCCTTTGTAGGAGTAGGTTGTAACCTTGTGTTTGGCCACACTGGGGAGCATTGGCCTCTAGTTTATTCGTGATTCTGAGGAAGAAGGTGGCTCCTGGCCACTGCACTCCGGCAGCCAGGGCCAGCCTCATTACTCCATCTGAGGCCACAGGACTAGGGAACCAGCACCTCCAGGCAGTCGATAACTGGGCCGGAGGGTAGTGTGTACAGCATGCCACATGAGTGCTGGCAGAGAAGTGGGGTTCCCTAGCTCTGCAGTGTCTCCCAGGAATCCTCCAACAGCTCCTGTGTCCGCCAGAGCCTAGCTTTGTCACCTCTAAACCACTTCAGAGTCCTTTATGCCAAAAAACAGTTGCACATTCTTCTAGCCATGGTATCCTGAGCCTTGTGGTGCCCCAGCTGCTGGAGAATACAAAGAAGTCAGATACAGCCTTGCGTCCAGAAGCCAGGGCATGCGGACAGAAGCAGGAGAGCAGGCGGACAGCCTGGGGAGAGCCTCTGGCAGCAGGGCGGAACCCAGAAGGGCCCCGGGAAGCACTGGGGCTTGGTGGGTGTCCCCAGCAAGGCTCCCTGTCTGGTCGGAGTCCAGTTACAGACAAGTGAAAGCCACGCTTCTCCCCTCCAAGTTCAACTTCCTGAAAAGCAGTAATAAGAAAGCTGTGGTGCTGCCCTGAGCGTCCTCTTTCCTCAGAGCTCCACAGGAGCACCTGCTAGGAAGCGTCCAGGGTGGAGGCCTGTGGGCCTGGAGAGCTCTGATGTCAGATCTGCGTTTGCCAAGGGTTCCCAGGTGTGAGTGTTTTTATATCTAAGCACTCAAGCCTGTGCCATAAGAAGATGTCGTCCTGCTGAGCAGTGCCTCGTCTTCCTGCCCTTGGCCCTGGGTAACTCATTTAAGTGCTCTTGGTTCACAGACTGGAAGGATGAGATATGCCCATGCAGCTTCACATTCCCAATGAGGGTGAGCCTGGCACAGGTGCACGGCAGTGGTGAAGAGCACTTGGCCAGAACCTCGGCCCCTCCACCTGCCAGAGATCCTGTCACATAGGTGACCGCAGTTACTCATGACCAAAAATGTCCAGAGGAGTGCTGTGGTTGGACACTGCACCAGCGCAGTTCAGGTCGGGGCTGAAGGGCTGGAGAGCTAGAGACAGCTGCTGCCCTCAGGCCAACAGAGGAAGGGGCACTGGTGGAATCTGTGATGTGTGCACCGTTGTGTCTCACAGCTGAGGTCAAGCGCGTGGGCGACACAGTGCTTGGGATGGCCACACAGTGCGTGCAGATGAAAAACGTGCAGAGAACCACACCACAGACCCTGTCCAACCTCTGCCTGAAGATCAATGTCAAGCTGGGAGGCGTCAACAACATCCTGCTGCCCCAGGGCAGGTGAGCCAGCCCTTCTGCCTGTGTGCTGGGTGCGTGGATGGTTTTCAGTGGACAGGGCATGGTGTGCAGAGGTGCCTGGGTGAGGGCTGTCCTGGACAGTGCTGAGGACATGGGGACTGACTATGCACAATCTCTCCAGGACCAGGGGAATATGCAGGGGGCAAGTGCAGGGCCAGAGTGGGCACCCCTCCCTGTGCTAGGATCTGTGCAGGTGAGTGAGGCTCAGCAGGGGCACACTTGGAATGGCTGGGAGAGGGGTGCCCTGTTCACCTGCAGGACCCTGGAGCAGCGGGGTGTTCTGGAGTCTGCACGAGAGTTCCACCAGAGGCTCCCTACCAGGGAAGGATGGCACTTGATGCTGTGATTGGAGCACTTCTGTCTGAACAGTGCCACACAGGAATCACTGTTGCTGGATCCCAGGCCAGCCCAGGAAGTGTGGCTGAGCATCAGCTGCCTGCATGTCCCTGAGTTGGGGCGGGTGTGATGCAGCTGTGCCTTCCTTGAGTGCCCCCTGGGGCTGGCTTGTTGCCCTGGGTATTAAATTGCAGAACCAAGTTTACCATGTGCCCCTCCTCAGAAACCAGGGCCTCGAGCACAGAAGAAAGGGGTAGTTATGATGACAGATGTTGAGATCTTATCATTCAATCCCAGGGCCTTGTCTTAGTATAGGAATGACAGAAAAATGGTGAAGACAGGGAAATAGTTCAATGAACCTGACTGTCCTAGTGTCAAAGAGATGATGGTGAAAAGTGGAGGCAGACATTGATCAGCACTGCCCAGGTGTAACCTCCAGCCTGCCCTGGGGTTAGGTTAGTGTCTCCTTCCATTTTGTGTTGTTAGAAGGAAATACCTGAGGCTTCGAAGTTTAGAAGGAAAAGAGGTTTATTTAAAGGTACAGTAGAGGTCCAAGAGTGAGGTGCCAACCCTGGCTTCTGCCGAGGTTTCCTGGTGGATGGTTTCATGTTGGAAATGCTCACGTGCATGGAGAGGGGTCACATGGTGGAAAAAGTTTGTAACAAGTCTCTCATGGTAACTAACTCATCCCAGCAAGATGGGCATTAGTCCCTTCCCAGGTGACGCCCCCGCGACCTAACCATCTTCTACTAGGCCACACCTCTCAGCAGCCTTGCACTGGGGACCACATCTCCAAAACACGACTCTGGGGCCACACCAGAGCACCCACATGAGACACTCTGGGTCTGGTCGGTCAGCGTCTGGCTCGGCAGGTCAGGTTTCGGGCCCAAGAATCCGCTCTCCTGACGGCATGCCCTGCACTGCTGCTGTGGTGGCCAGGGACACAACACTGTAAGCACTGCCGAGTTACGCCCGCAGCTGCGGGAGGAGGTTGGTGCACAGGAACCTGGCCTCTGCCTGAATTTGCTCTCGGCTCTGAGCGAGAGCCATTCCACTCCCACGAGTTCCTGGGAACGAGTGAGGACTCATCAAGGGGCAGTTGGCAACCCCAAGGGTAGTTCCGTTAGCCAGCAGGCTCTGAGGTTGTTGTGTGCAAGGAGTTTAGGCCATAAACAGAGAGCCCCGGGACCTCATCTGTACCCCTTTAATGGAGGGGTGATGGCTATGAGGACGTCACACCTGGTGTGCCCGTGAGCTGCATCACGGTGGCAGGGGATGAGCTCAGATGAGCGTCTGGCAGAGGACGTGGCCTCCAGAGCCCTGACATGGGAGCCGAGGGAGCGATGGTAGTTGTTTCGCTGAAAGGCTACAAGAGTGGTGGGCCCGTGAGGTAAGCTGCAGCTACGAGGGCACACCTGACCTGTGTTCTGGAGGGTTGCCTGTGGCTCCGCATAGAGGGGCCACTGGCCTGGGCCAGGCTGGAGGCAGGTGTGGAGAGGGAACACCCTGACTCTGGGTGGCTTTGAAGAGAGAACCCTGGAACTGGCAGGCAGGGGTGTGTTTAGGGAAGAGCAAGGACGGCTTCAGAGCCCTCGGCCTTGTCCCCGAGAGGGCAAGCGCATGCTCACAGCTGAGGGCCCAGGCTTGCCGCTCCGGCCTCCTGCTCAGGCCTCTGCAGAGCCCCTGTGATGTGGCCTGTGGGAAGCAGGCGTCTGATCCCCAGAGGCCATGAGATCCCGGAATCCTGGATGGTGTTCAAAGCCAGGAGGCTGGAGGAGACCCCTTGAGGGAGCTTCTGAGTGCTGGGAGGGCCGGTGTCGCAGCCCTGGGGGCAGCAGTGGAGACAGCAGTGAGGCCCGGGAGGAAAGGTGGCCAGGTCTCTGGATGCCTGGGAAAGTGTGTCCTGGGTCGCAAGGCCGCAGTGAGCCGTGCTTGATGAGGCCTGAGTGCATTTCTGGATACAGGAAGGTCTGTTGGGTCAGCTGAGGTGACAGTCCCTGGAGACCTTGCCGAGGAACCTGACTGCCAGGCAGTGGGAAGGTGGTCATCAGGCGTCAGGGAGGCAGTCACAGGTCAGTAGATTCAGGGAGCTGGCTGCAAGGCAGGCGAGGTTTCTGGGACAGGTGTGGTTTTGCTTGTTCCGTGTGATTTGCATGTGTGAATGAGGCTGTCACAGGCTGGCCCTGCACTCTGAGCGCCCTGACAGTGAGTGTCAAGGCCTGTGGTGTGACAGAGCATAGTGAGGCCACAAGGGGTGCTGGCTGGTTCTATAGCCTGGTCAGTGGGACTGATGCCATTTGGGGGCCTCCCCAGAGTTCACAGTGTGGGGTGTGCTTTCTTCATGCCGTCTGCCTCCGTACCTGGCAGCAGTAGTGATGTGGCACTGCGGGAAGCAGGTGCCTGTGAATTGCCTGGCCTTAATGGGGCAGCAGACATCGGCCTGAGGTCTGCCAGGAACCCCCACCCAGCCAGCCAGTGCCCCAGGTGCAGCTTGAACTACAGTGGGGATTGGAGGGACCCTGCCCACCTGCTGAGGCAGCTGGCACGGGCCATATGTATATGAAGCTCCTTCTGCATCCTGAGGAAGTGCAGGGGTGGGCATGCACAGCCATGCTGGGCTTAAGGGCTCTCCCTGGAGCTGAGCAAGGGATACCCAAAGTGAGATGGGAGCAGGTCCCAATGGCCAGCATCCCTGGCGGGATCCCTTCTGCCAGCCTGCTGAGGAGTATGGTCAGAGACTGCAGACCTGCCCAGGAGCAAGTGGGAGGTCCTGAGCCAGCGCTAGGTGGGGAGCACATCCTTACCTTCCACACCCCCTGGTGGCTGGGACAGATTCTCCTGGCTGTCACTCCCTGCCTAGGAGTGTCTGTTCTTCAGTTCTCTCTGTGGCGGTACTCACTCATCCTTCTGGCACCAAAGGGTAGTCCTGAGACTAAGCAGTTGATGCAGTTTGGAAGAGGGCAGATTAAGACCCACCGCAGGTGGAACAGAACCTTTCTTACACCCAGCTCAGTCTCTAGCTGTAGGGCAGGATGCAGCCGAAGATGTGACACAGGTCTCTACACTCTCATGATATTTTCTCCATCAGCATGGAAATGGTAATGGGGCCAGCTGCTAGTGCTACTGTGTGAGGAGCCCTCTGAAAGTACTGGACACGCATGAGCTTCTGTGGTCATGTAGCATCCCTGAAAGGGGACAGCACAACCCTCCCTAGAGCAACCCCTCCTGTGCACATTGCTTCCCAGGAGGAGTGAGTGGAGGCTAGGAGTGCTGCTGGGCCTCCTCCCGTGCTCAGAGCAGCCTCTCCCACAATAGAGTCGTGGGTGGAGAGACTCCCTGCAGCAGCACCAAGCCTGAGTAACAACCCGTGGGATTTTCTCCCTTCCCCTCCCCTCTGGTGCTAGGGATGGAACCCACAGCCTCCCACATGCTAGGCAAGCACTCTACCACTGGGCTACGTCCCTAGCCCAAGCCATGGGAAATTTTTTGGAAATTTTAAAGTAAACACAAAGAAGATAAGGAACAGTGAACCCTCATGTGTCTGACCTCTGACCTCAACAGCCATCAGTGCCTGGCCAGTCTTGTCTGGGGTACATTCCACCCCTGCTCCACTTTCTCAGGGTCCTTCTGAGGCATATTTCAGCCCTCATGTTACTTATGTGTGAGGTTTCTCTGTGACCTTTAAAGTAAAGGTTCTGCTCAAAAGCATAACCACTCTGCCGACTGCACAGGTCACAGGGGTGTTAACTGACCCCGTCACTGATCCAGGCCTCCAATGCCACTTACTTCTGCAGGCCTCCAGTGTTCCAGCAGCCTGTGATCTTTCTGGGAGCAGATGTCACTCACCCACCTGCGGGGGACGGGAAGAAGCCTTCGATTGCCGCAGTGAGTGTCAGTGCTCTCCTCTGAGCCTCTGTTGGTGGCGTGGTGCTTAGGACTCTGCAGAGACCACCAAGACACATGTGGTCTCTGCAGCCATACGCCTGAAGGGCATGGAGGTTTGCCCAGCTGCTCAGAACCTCAGGGCCTCATGGCGAATAGGGGATTGGAGGGGACACTGACGGTGGCATGAAACAGGCCCCAAGAAGCTGAGTCGCACGCACCAGCGCTGTCCATAGATGCACATGGACTGGCTGCCCGCCTGGCGTTCTCAGGAGGGTCTAGGGTTACTGTTACAGTGGCCTTTCATTTTAAAAGAGAACCAAACCATGCCTTCCTCGCAGTGAGGGTTTAGGCTTTGGAGTGCAGAGAGCAAAGGGGGCTACCTGAGAGCCGTCTTTTCTGAGGGCCTTGGCCTCGTAGCAGTGGGGGAAAGCAGAAAGCCTCAGGTGTCTCTTTTTGGTCATTATCTGGAGCCACTGGGTTTCACCCCCCAGTGTCACCTTGGGTTCTTGAGAGCCCTGCCATGTGCCCTGGCTTTCTTGGCCGAGTTGCCTCAGAGAAGTGCTGGGCTGCTGGCAGGAGTGAGCGCTGAGGCCCCCGAAGGTGGGTTCCTTTTGGGCAGAGCACAGCTGCAGAGGGTGCCCTGGATGGATCACAGAAGCACCGGCTGAGCTCGGCCCTGGACTGCTGCAGACTGCCTGCTCGCGTCTGTTTCTTTTGAGCAATTAAGCTTAACATTCCTGAACTTTCTCTTTTGTAAAGTGAGGAAACCACTGTGGATCTCTTAAAGATTATTATGAGACAGTGTAGTTAAGCCCCAGCATGGAGCCTGGCCCATGGAGCTAAGAAAATGCGGCATCATCTGATAAGTCTGGAGGGACTGTGGTGTAGGACCCTGTCTCAGGGATGTGGGGAGCCAGGTGAGCCCTGGGTGGAAGGGAGCTGCCATGGTACTTGGGTGCATGTGTGTGCAGCACACATAAATCGTGCTTGGCTGTCACTCCCCTTATGAAATCAGGGTCATGTAAGCCAGGCAGTTCCTGCTGCCTGGCCCAGTAACTGCGACCCAGCACTTCCCGTGCGAGCAGCATTTCTCGATTTGCTGGATGCCTTTAGCTCCTTCCTCCCTTAGCAGCTCAGCAGCTCTGCTCGGTGCAGCTGGCTGTGCTCAGGTTTGCAGAGGAGGAAGCTGGGCCCAGAGAGGAGGCCCCCCAGGGCTTCCCCGGCCGAGCTCTGCACCCACTGCGGGCCTGCAGGCTCCAGCTCTGGGTCTTGCCATCTCCCTGCCTCACCTGTCCCTGTTGTGTTTGTTCTTCTGGACAGATGTGGTGTAGTGTTGAATATTATCTCTGGGTTTAGAGGGTTATGTTTTCAAGTTTTCAGGAACAGAAATCTATGTTCACCCCAACCCCCAAATTCTCAATAAATAGAAACAGATTTCTGTTTATGTTAATTTGTTTATACCAACTTAACATTTCAGGGTCTGTCTATTTTCACTTGTTTGAGAGGAAAATCTTGGCCAAGGCAGGACCTAGGCAAGGCGTCGGGGGCTGGCCCGGGGAGTGCTGCCCTGCCTGGTGTCCTGAGAAGCTGGCTTCCTGGAGCCTGCTTTCCACGGGCACAAGCTTTCCCTCGGTCTTTCCAGTGTAAGGAACCTGCCTCCCGGCTCAGAGGTGAGCAGGTCCTGGTAGTGCCTGGTCCATTGTCCTACAGGGCTGAGTTCCCGTTGTCCCTGACACTCCCTATACCCCCGACCAGACAACCTGAGTCGTCGCGGGCTCATTCTGCTCGCTCGCCTGCTCACCCTGTCTCCCTCTGGTTGGCATTCATACTGGGGCTCATACAGCCTCTGGCCTTTGGGAGTTCCCCTTTCCTGAGAACCAAAATCTCGGTTGCTGTCTGTTGATAATGCAGAGGGCTCTTTGGAAAAGCAGGTACCAAACCTTCAGAGAAAGCAAGGACACCACTTCCACTTTGCTGTATTGGGACATCCAGGTGGAGACCCTTCTGCCCACCTGCAGGCCAGCGCCACCACGTACCTAGAAGAGGGAGCCTGGAAACCTTGCCAAATGCTCCACATGTTTCCACAGGTCGTGGGCAGCATGGATGCGCACCCCAACCGCTACTGCGCCACTGTGCGTGTGCAGCAGCACCGGCAAGAGATCATTCAGGACCTGGCGGCCATGGTGCGTGAGCTGCTCATCCAGTTCTACAAGTCCACACGCTTCAAACCCACCCGCATCATCTTCTACCGCGATGGTGTCTCCGAAGGCCAGTTCCAGCAGGTTGGCTATCCTCCCTTTGAGCTTCTCTATCTTTGTCTGGTGTCTAAGATTCCCCAGTACACTAATGCAGACTGACTCAGTGGCTTTCTACCCAAGGTTGATGCGGTCAGAGTGTGGAAGGCGGGCAGTGGTGGAGACTGCAGGGCACAGGATTGTCCAGGCCCTGGCCCTAGTCGGGCTCATGGTGCAGAGTCAGGGCAGAGGAAGTGGAGAAGGAGTGGGTATGAGCTTGGGCCCTGGAGACATGGGAGTGAGGGTCTCACCTGGCCAGCAGTGGGCTCAGCAGCATAGCTCACTGCCCATGCTTTCCAGAAGTGTGGACTTTGCCTTGGAGGATATGAAGAGCTGTCGGGGAACAAGGTCTTTGCACGACAGAGACCTTATATCTGGCGACCCTTCTGTCCGTAGTGTGAGAGACAGGCTGGAGCAGGTACCACAGCAGCAGGATAAGAACTGCATGGGGCAAAAGGGGCTGGGCAACATCATGACCCTGGCACCGTGGATGCACAGAGATGGGTGGGCCCGGTGGGTAAGAGAGGGTCTGGAAGGGGAAGAAAGCCCTCACATGCAGGGGTGAGCGAGGGCATGGGAGTGGCCATATTCTCCTGATTCTGCCTCCAACAGTGCTGGGTCAAGGTGCCCTGCCTGTGGCAGTAGAACTCTGTCCTGACCCTGAGATTCTCCCCATCAGCTTGGGCTGGTTGCACTTCTGTTTCTCCACTCCCAAAGCAAGTGTGTTGTTAAGCAGTGGTGGCAGTGGGGGCCACTCGTGGTAGGGAATTGTCCTTGTGCACTTCAGAGGCTCCAGGTACACAGGAACCTGCCCCTCCTTGGTCACAGGCTGATTCCAAGTACACATTTTGCCTTCCTGGTACCTATGGAAATAGTGGCTCATGCTCCTTAAGTCCAGGATCCCCTAGGGGGAAAAAAAAAAAAAAAAAGAAAACAGATTCTGCTTCTTGACCAAGCGGCCTTTCTGAGCTGCTTCAGAGCCTGGGCTGGTGGCTCCCTCTGTCCCCTCATAGCCCAGGGTCCTGTTGTGTTGACAGACCTCCTGGGCTCCCCCAGCAGGGACTCTTCTCCCTCCCTTAAGCTCCTGGCCCTTTTCCCCCATGTCACAGTGCCATGCCCATGTAGAGAGGGGATCTGCCTTCCGAGGCTCTGAGCACTCTGTCTTACAGAATCCCACAACTGAGTTTTCTGCACCCAGAACTTATGTTCTTGAGACATTGTAATAGAGTATTTTGATTGAGATTATTGCTTAAAATCTATAGTGTAGCCAGGCACAGAGGCACATACCTGTCATCCCAGCTACAAGGCTGAGGCAGGTGGATGGCTTGAATCCAGGAGTTCAAGATCAGCCTGAACAGAACAGCAAGACCCTAAAAAAATATCAGAAATTCAAAGTGCCCTGGTTCGTAGGCTGTGACCGTCATTTTCCGTCTTCCCATTGGGACTCAGATAGGGCATGCAAGTTTTACAGGTAGGATTGAGGGTCAGAATGTGTGGCTTTCCACATGGCTAATTGGTGGCAGAGCTCAAATTCAAACTCCAGTCTGACTCCTAAGCCATTGCCTTTTCTATTAGATACGATTTAAAAAGCAGCAGCTTAATGAATGAATGACTTTCTCAGTGCTGTAAGTCCTCTGCAGTGCCTCAGCCCTGAGGGGTGTGAGTGCCGTCTACTGAGCACTGAGAGTGTTCTAAGTGTTGTGCTCATCATTTTCATGCATTTTCTAACTTAAAAACCAGTTAGCCATGAAACCTGGGTGTCCCTAGCTCTATTGTATAAATGAAAACAGGAAGTCACAAGGGAAGTTGCGTGCCCAGGCACACGCTAGCAGAGCTGGAAGGCTTGACTCTAGGTGTTTAAGTGGCACATATTTTTAAGATGTTTACTTCGAGTAGCACGAGGCCTAGAACGACCCTGAAACCTACCCGACTCTCCCTTTCAGGTCCTTCACCACGAGCTGCTGGCCATCCGTGAGGCCTGTATTAAGCTGGAAAAGGACTACCAGCCGGGGATTACGTTCATCGTGGTGCAGAAGAGGCACCACACACGGCTCTTCTGCACTGACAAGAACGAGCGGGTAAGCCCCCTGGCATGTCCCGGTAATGCCCTGGGGATATGCGTGAGTCATTTCAGGGTCCTGAGCCCTGGACCTGAGCCACCTCACAGAGCTCCTACCAGCCACTCAGAGCTGCTGCCCAGGCCCTGGGGAGACTGTGCTCTGAGGAGCTTCTTGGGAACCTGCCTCAGATGTCCTGGATGGCTCTCTTTGCCTTGGGAGCAGTTTTATCTTGAATCTCGCAGATCTGGGATAGGCCCGGTGTTAAAAGGTCATTTATCTCATAAATTACCAAAAGAGATGATTCTGAGAACCCGTTGGACACACAGCCGTGGACTGGGCGAGCGTGGAGTGTGGTAGGATGGAGTCGGCCACGGGCCCCTGTGGGACTGTTGGGAAGTGCTGCTAGGTGTCCTGAGGAGCTCTCACGTGGGCTGGGAATAGCTGAGAGCCTCTTCCACACCCCTGATAGGACACATGGTCCTGCCTTTGCCCATGAAAGAGACAGTGCCTAGGGGGCAGGACCAGGCTGAGAACCACAGCCCTCACACTGGTGGCAGCAGGCAAGAGCATGGTGGTTTAGACGCACTGGGTGCTGAAGAGGACTAACTGCAGCTCAGTCCTGGTGGCCCTACTGCCACACCAGTGCAAGAAGCAATGTTGTGATGTAAATGGAGGAACCAAACGGTAAATATTACAGTGAGGAAAGGGGATATTTTGTCTCATAAAAGGACTAATTCACTATCAAGATTGAGCATCTGTGATCTTAAATGTACCCAGTGCTCTGCCCTAAAATTATATAAGAATGGAAAAAAAAAAAAAGTGAAGCAAAACCGGACAGAATTTCATCAGAAGTTGAAATGGGAAAAAATGAGAACTGAAAACTGCAAGAGTGAAAAGGATGGATAGGCACCGTAACTGGACAGGACCTGCCACAGCACCTGGGGCCACACAGAAGGGTTACGAAGCCGGCTTTCCACCAGGACAGAGGAGCCACTCACATTTCCATACCTCAAGTTTTGTATAATAAACCTTATGTTTTGATCGTTATGCAGTTAAATTCCAAATCAGTAGGAATGAAGTTTAAGAACACTTGAAACTTTCAATTTACTGCTAAGTAGCTCATGCATTAAACATATAATGAAGATAGAAATTGCAGAGCACTCAGAAATGAACAAAAACCTGAAGATTTCATATCAAACCTGTGCAGTGTAGCTAAAACAGTGCAGCCTGTAGACTTAGATGCATTGGGTATAAAATAAGAACCATGACAGAAAGTGAGAATAAAGACAGAATGGAAAGAAGAGACCCCAGGACCCAGGAGTCGAGGTAGAGCTGCAGAGCTCGGGGGCTGGGCTCCTTCCTCTCCTCAGTCCCCAGGTCTCCGTTGCCAGGAAGCAAGAAGGCTCTGTAGGCAACTATTCCTGGAAACACCTACACCCTCTCCCCCTTCCCAGAATGGAAAATAAGTACAAAGTAAAGAAGCAAGACAGGAGATTAAAATCAAAACCTGCCTCTTTGAAAATAGACCTAGTAAGACTCCACAAGAAACAGAAGAGGACATTGTCCAAGCATAGGAGCGTGACCCTTTATGTGATCACTATATGATCATTCTAAGTATTGGCCCAGAGAGCTTCACAAGCAAGTTTCTCCAAACGTTCAGTAACAGATCATCTTAAGTATGATAGAACACACAGAGTTACTTGGTGTATTTATGAGTGTAGTGAGAGTTTTGCAGGTAAGATTTATCAAACCTTCAAGGAAAACTCTTATACCATGTCAGAGATCAGGAATGGCGGGGAGAGCGGTTCAGCAGGGATTACTTTACATTCTGAGGCTGGCTTGCTAATCCCAAGTGTGGGGGTGCAGGCATTGTGCTGGGGTTAAGGGTCCAGGGTCTTGAGTGAGGTGGCCTGGGCTCAGTTCTCGCCCTTGTACATACATACCTAACCCTTTGTATTTCAAGACAGAGTCTAAGTTACTAAGGCTGCACTGCTCTCTTACAAGTGGTGGCCAAGAGCCAGCCACTCGGGAGCCCTGGCCAGCTTTTAGGGTTTTGCTTCCCTGCCTTGAGTGCTACGTGGACGTGCTGGGCACCAGCCTGCAGAGGGTCCTCACCTAGCTTGGATGTAGATAGCATGTTGCTTCAGTATGTTGCTGGCAGTACCCCTGGGCCCCAGATCAGAGTGGCACCAACAGTGCAAAACCCTCTTAGAGTAGATGGTTCAGTGAAGACTGCACTTGGCCTGTGCAGCTTATAAGATGTGAGGGTGAAGAAACAGAGCAAGTCTAGTTATTAATACTGGCTAGAGTTTCACACTCTCCTCTGAACACATGCATTAAGCAGTTTGAAAATTTGTCACGGGGCTGGGGATATAGCTCAGTTGATAAAGTGCTTGCCTTGCATGCATAAGGCCCTAGGTTCAATCCCCAGCACCACAAAAAATAAATAATAAAAATAAAGATTTGCTTTGGCCAGAAAGGCTGTGTGGACTATCTTCCTTACTACCTGTGTCCTGTCTGATGAGGCTCTTGTGTTGCTGCAGGTTGGGAAGAGTGGGAATATTCCAGCAGGCACAACTGTGGACACGAAGATCACCCACCCAACGGAGTTTGACTTCTACCTGTGTAGTCATGCCGGCATCCAGGTGAGGACGGAGGGCCCCGTTCACACAGTTTGAGATATTTGCAGTGTCATCACACAGTCAGCCAACTCCTGTGCTCTGATCAGCCCTGGGACATGGTGGAGTAGCATGGACAAGGGTCTGCCCACCCTCCGCCCCTGGCTCACACTCTGGCTATGAGAGATGGGTAGTTAACCTGGGACCCAGGAGACTGTGGCCATGTCGGACACTTGGAAGGAAAGAACCACAGAGGTGCTAGGGTAGACCATGTGGAGTGGCCACCAGGGCTTCCCCAGTTGAGTTCCACTTTGAAGGAAGTGAGGTCCAGGCACAAGGAGCTGTGAGTGCCAGGGCACTTGAGGGGGTAGAGGCTATATTGTGGATGGCGCTTAGCGAGCTAGAAAATGAGACCTGAATATTCACGCGGCCACCAGGAAGCTGCTGCAGTAGGGCACATGAAGAGGCAGCTCTGGCTGGCCAACCTTGCAGCCCCTCCGTGGGGGCTGGCTGATTGGGCAGGCTCCAGGTGAGTGCTGGCACCAGGAGATGCAGTTGCCTTCGGGGAAAAGACCCCTATCTGGCCAAGGGTGGACACATGCATGTGGCCACCAAAGTGCCATTTCCATTGAGAAGCTGACCTGCCTCAGTCCACACTGTCTTTACCACTCAAGTGGAGGACTGCAGCCTGGGGTGTGGCCACCTGCAGCCCATTTGCTAGACCTAAGAACTGAGGCTGTTTTTACAGATTTGAAACTTGTTTATGAGGAAAGGAAAAAGAAGAACAAAATAAAGGTAGAGAATGTGAAGGTCTCTATGCAGGTTCCTGATGCAGATGGCCTGTCCCGTTGGTCCAGTCCCCCACCACAGCTTTCTCTGTGAAGGCACACTGTTTCCGAGATGTCTCCTCTATCTGCAGTGTGCCCCCACTCCCACCCCGCTTCCCTCCTGACAGGGGAACCCTCACTTTCAAGCCTCTGGCTTCTCTTCTGCCCAGAGACTTTCTAGGGGGGAGCCTGTGGGGGGCTTGGGGAGCTGGCACCTTGCTGTCACCATGTCTGGACACACCCACCTGGGCCAGTCATCAGTTTTTGTCTTTAACATCATTGCAGTGTTCTTTGGGAAGATTTCACAGTGCATTTGGCTTATTTCATCCTGTAATCTGCTTTCAGGGGACAAGCAGGCCGTCCCACTACCATGTCCTCTGGGATGACAATCGTTTCTCTTCTGACGAGCTGCAGATTCTCACCTACCAGCTGTGTCACACCTACGTGCGCTGCACACGTTCTGTGTCCATCCCAGCGCCAGCCTACTATGCCCACCTGGTGGCCTTCCGGGCCAGGTACCACCTGGTAGACAAAGAACACGATAGGTGAGTCTTGTGCCCGTTGGGGCAGGGCCTGCCTCTGATAGAATTGAACACACAGGTCCCTCAACATGGCAGCCTTGCAGCCACTCATCAGCTGTGTGCCCGTGCACACTGCTCCCCTCCCCAGGTGTCTGTCCAGTAAAGGCTGTTCTCTCTCCCTCCTGTGTCCCTGCAGTGCTGAGGGGAGCCATACCTCGGGGCAGAGCAACGGGCGAGACCACCAGGCCCTGGCCAAGGCGGTCCAGGTCCATCAGGACACGCTGCGCACCATGTACTTTGCTTGACGTGTCTAGTGTCCAGCGATTGTGCATCAAGTTGGATTCACACGAGACCAGCCTCACTCAGACCAACAGACGCCCAGCCCTCCGTGACAGCCAGCATCCAACATGAGAGTCATTGATTTTATCAGATCTCCATTTTCCAGAATGCCTTCCGTCCCAGATTTCAAACTTGGATTTTGAACTGCAGACCTGTATGAGACCCCACTGTCGTAGGAAATATGGTTTGCCAAAATCTATGAGCTGCTTATTAAAATAGAATCCCGTGTTTCCTAAAAATCCTAAAACCAGTCTATGAACTCAGGGCTTTAAAACATTTTTTAATTTATTTGGTCATTCAATTTACTTGTTTTTAACACATAATTCTCTATGAAATTGATGGGCTCAAACTAGCTGTGAATGTTCTGAGAGTGAAAGCAACACAAAACATTGTGGTTTTAAAGCCTTGAACATTCTGATGTTGTCACTGAAGTTGATTTCCAAGAGGCGTGGTGTGCTTGTGGCCTGGCTGCACAAGCTCAGCCCCAAGGGCAGGTGGCCGTGCACGGCATCCACAGGTGTGTCTTGCTCTGCCATTGCCTACCTCCCATAGCGTGAGCCGAGGTACAGTGGCAGAAGGAGGGCCACGTGTGTTTACAGCAGTGACATGTCCAGAGAGATTGGCAGATAAGTGCCATTTTAATAACAATTTATTTAAAAAGAGAAGAAAGACAATATACCGACAGTCTAATCATAAGATTTGTCCTATAGGACTGTGACGTTTATTTTCCAAAGTTTCTAAAGAATACGGGTCTGTGGTGAGAAATACAGTACAATCCTTTTTCACTGTTATGTCTTTAATGTAAGAGAAGAATATATATATCTGGTTTGCAGTATTAATGTGATAGGTAGATGCTGTTTTCCTTTTGTTGACTACGGGGTGCTTCTTGTGACCTGTTTTGCATATCAGGAGGTTGGAGCCTGGAGACAGGCCACCTCTTGTGGCTCTTAGTGCTTAAGTACAGGAATATGCAACTGACTTTGTGTGACAGCCATCTGCCCCCAGTGTGGACTGTGTGGCCTGTACCTCCGGGAGGGACGGCGTGTCCACCAGTCACTCGCCACCCTCCCTCTGCCTCCTCCCCATGTGTTGCTCAGCCGATGAAGCACAAATGGAGTTTATTTATTCTTCCATCGCTGGGAAACAAGTTCATGTATCAGAGTGCACTTCTCCCTGCGTGCAGTCTTGTTAGGCGAGTTTCATAGGATCTATGCACTGAGACAGACGGAAAGCTGCTGCCGGTAGCTCTCTCCTGGCTGCAGTCAGGGCAGTGGAACCTGCCCTGAGAGGATCGCCCATGGAGATGCCAGCAGAGGACACAGAACGCTCTGTGGGGATTTGCATCCAGGGCCCCAGATGTGGGTTTGCCAATCTAGAAACCATTGCACTAAGAGTGACGCCACAGACAGCTTAAAGGTAACAGCAGATGTGGCTATTTGTGCTGAATGGGCCTGTTGTCCTCGTGTGCAATCTGAGAATCATGCCCATGCTCCATGTAGACCTTAAGGAAGGGGACAAGCCTCCCCTGTGCTGCTTTGTGCTCTGCAGGTTTCCCCTCTCCCTGCCGATGTCCCTTCCCCATCCCTATGTGACGTTACCTCTGGCACTGCGGTGGAGTGAGGGTCCCAAAGGTGGTGCCTCGTGCTGAGGTAGGCACCCACCTGTTCCTGTCCTTCACTCCAGAGGTGGTAGGAGTGTTGGTGAGCCCCTGGCAGAGCATCCTGACCCTGGGCCTGGGCTGGCGGCAGAGACAGGTGGCTGTGGTCGGTGAAGATGAGTACTCAGTGGGGGGGTGTCTCTGTGTGCATGTGGGTCTCTTACTTAGTCTTTTCTTGCTGTATCTTTTTTTAATCTTTTTAAGTGACAGCAGCCTCCGCTCTAAGAAGCACTACAGCTGCCTGTTGTCTTATTGGCAAGTGGCACTTTTTCCTGCTTCCAGAAGGACACAGATACACTGAGCTGAGCTCACCAGGCATACTGAAGCTGAAGAGGGAATGTTTGGGCTAGTAAATTTTTAGAATCTGATATTTAGTTTCAGCCATTCTTAGAGCCATTTGGAACCTTGTTTCCCAAAGGTGTTTCTCTACCCTCTGCAACAGGATCTGGGTGTCAGAGAAGGGCAGGTCTGGTTAAATGCAGATTCTGAGCTGTCTACAAACAAACAACCTGAATCAGGTTCTGGGGAGTGGCTGGGCATCTGCATTTTTTAAGGTATCACTTGCCAGCTCTGGAGTAGCTGGGGAGGGGGAGGCCTTCTGAGGACGTCCTCCCAGGGCACCTGCAAGGAGGGCCTGCTCAGCAAAGCCAGGAGGTGTGAGCAAGTACAGGCTGGCAGGAAATCAGACCTGGTTTGGTTTTGTTTTGTTGTATTTTAGTTTAGTCTTGTTTTGATCACTTTGAAGGATAAGTTTTCTTTGAAGAAGGGTACTTTTTTATAACCCTCTGCTTGTTTTGTAAAACTTTTAAAACTAAAAGCATTAACAGACCAAATGTCCCCATTTGTCAGCTGCATATCTTGTACGTGTCAGATGATTCAGAATTTAAATGGCTGTAGTCACAATTTCTCAGGTAAATAATTGTTTAATAACCCCATTATCGGCATAAGTTTTGAGGCAGCGCAGTAAGTAGCGTGAGTCCAACCCCGTTCACGTGGAAGCCAGGAGCGGTGCCCCTCCACCTCTGCCCACACTCGTGCCCAAGGAAGCTGGCTCCCAGGTGGCTCCTTGCCCCTGGGGCTCCTATGCTTATGTTCAAATTTGAGGGCTGACCGCTCAGTCGCTGGCTTTGTCCCCACCCCACTGTTAAGTAAGGTGTGCCTTGCTTTAAGCAAACTGAATGTGAAGATGACAATGTAGAAATCTGGATTCATCTAAAAGGAAAACTGGGACTTATCTCTTTAGAAGAGGCCTGCCAATTAACAATGATTCCTCCTGGGACTCTTCCTAGTATACTTTAAAACACTCACTTTTTAAAAACCATTAGTGAACTCCCGTTTACCACTCTCTCTCATGCTCAGCAGCTCCTCCCTGTGATAGTAAGTGATGCAAGGTCCAGGAGACCATTTAAAGGAGAGCACCTGTGACATTAGCAAAGATACCATCCTGTCACTTGGTGGTTGTGAGCTCAGATTCCTTGCTCAGAAAAACTTTGTATGACTGGGTGGGTGTGTCTGTGCTTTTAGAAAGGGGTCGCTTGCTCTTGGCCTGGGTTTCCTACGGAGGAGTCCGTGTACACACTTTCTGGCATCCATTCTAGGGTCTGCTTGGTCTTCTCCATATCACCAGGTGGCCCTGGCCGGAGGGTCCAAGCCTCCTGCTGCCTGCCCCCACCCCGCTCCCCAGGGCAGTCGTGGCTGCCCGCAGCGAGCAAGCTGGTGCTCCGGGCCCTGCTTGCCCCATTGCTGAGTGCTCATTAGAAAAAAACATTGAGGTTCAGTTCCTGCAGCGGGATTTGGGATTGGGGGAGTTTTATTGTTGTTGTATGTTGTTTTTATTGTTGTTAAATGCAAATATTGCTATTTATTTTTTATTTTTTTCCTTTCTGCTCTGGTTTGATTTGGCTGATGTGGGTATTCCAGTGCATGGTACCTGATATGGTAGAAATGATTTTCCCCAACTTTTATAAATGACCTAATGTTTACCTTCAAGGTTGCTGGATGATTTTATTTTTGAAAGCCACAAATGTAGTTTTTCTGGATGAATTGTTTTTTTAATATATGCAGCAGTGTGCTTTCACATTGATCTGCCGGGTGGTTTAAATTTTATTTTTACAAGGCAGTTTTTCAGTCAAATTATATATTTGATACAATATGTCAAGGGCACACCAGCCATGTGCCATGCAGTGGGACACCAGAGGGTCAGGGGCCTCTGGGGGTTGGTGGCCGCTCCTGGCTGCCCAGGGTCGTGGTAGCACTCAGCTTGTTGCAGGGGCCCCGGGAACTGGGTGGGCCTTTCAGTGCGGCTCTGGTCTGGCAGGCAGGTCCAAGGGACTTCACGGGCATTCTCCTGCACCTATGGCAGCTCCATTAGGAGGTGCTTTAGACGTTGACCTAATTAGACAGTGGACAATCCCAGTGGCCCCGACAAGCCATAAGAAGCTCCCCTGTGACCTCTCTTTGACTCATCTCTGTGCTCATGAGAAAAGGAATGTATAATAAGTAGAAACAGATCCTCGTCAGTGTTCACAGGCCTCCCCTGCAGAATGCACATGTTTTATTTATACTTCAAGCCCTCCCTTCTCCAGCTGCCATGCCAGCAGTCTCATTGCTGTGACGTGTTTCCATGTGGACATAGTGCACATGTGACTCTGTCACGGGGGGTGTCCCTGTTACATGCATGTTGACGCTTTTGTAAGGAAAATTTTTCAGCTCAAGTAATTGCACTGATTTTTTGACAACTTCTTTTTATTGTGTCCAACTTTGCATCTGCTGTACTTGTTTGAAATGATTGTAAATAGACTCGTAGTAGCAGAAATGATGTGAAGACAGGATGGACGCTGCTTGGCTTCACGTCTCAGTGTTGTGTGTTAGGGTGGTGCAGACTGGCCTCTGCCCTGCTTCCTGCTCGTTAGCCTCGTGTCTTGACCATTCACAAAGGACAGACAAGCCTCCTTTTCTCGTGTCTCTGACAGGAAGTTTCCGTCTGCTTTCCTGATGGCTGCAGAGTCAAACTCAAGAGGACTGACTGTAAACCTTTGGGACACTTCTTGGTCTGTTCAGTTTTTTGTTGTTTGTCATGGCTCCCCAAAGTACTTCCTTGTTGTTCCATCCAGCCATTGACAGTTTGGGCAGAAGCATCTGCATGGCCCATATTAGCAGACCACGGGGGCCTCTCTTGCATCTCTTTGGCCAGCTGTCTGTTTAAAGCCACAAGGTCACTGTCATGTCAGACTGTCATTTGTGGCTGTATCCATTAATGCCAGAGAGACCCGAAGCCCAGTGCTTGCTCGTACATTGTGTTCTGCTGGATGCAAGGGACATGTTCCAGCCGCCATGTATAACTGTGTCTGTGGTCAGGCTTCCCAGTATCAGATACAGAAAGGAGCTTTCAAACCCAAACAGGTCGTGCGTGTGCGTGCGTGTGTGTGTGTGTGTGTGTGTGTGTGTGTGTGTGTGTGTGTGTGTGTGACATCAGTGCCATCATGTTGCTTCTGTGGATGTGTCCTGCCATTTTATTGTCTCAAGTGAATGTATTGGCTTAGCCAAGTCACTAACAGAAGGTGGTTTCTAAATACCTTTTAGTTAAAACAGATACAGATAAAAAGCTACCTCTGAAATCTCAGTAGATTCTTATTTGCTCTTAAGTGTAGCTATCCACACTGAAAATAGCCAAAATGTTGCCTGAGTAAACTGAATTTGGAACATCTCTCTGTTCAGTTCTGGCTTGAAAATGTGTGTGCCATACTGTGACCGGGGCAGCAGCCCCCCATCCTCTGTTGTGGCAGTGGACCAGGGACTTCTTAGCGCTGTCCAGCTGCGAGGGTCTAGTGCTCTGGGAGGCCAGGTGTAAAGGGAATGAAGGGCTTCCATGCGCAGTTGGAGTGCCTTCTGCCAGGCCGTGAGGAGCACCGTGCAGGGCACGCGCGATGGAGCCGGGGGTGCTCTGTCCTGCCTCCTGTGCTTTCCTGTTGAAGGGAAGCAGCCCCTGTTTTTTCTGCTTGCTTATAAATGGGTAAACAATGGCTTCCCCCGCCTGCTCTCCTCTCCAGTCTCACTCTCTAAAGTCACCAAGGTGCTTTAACACCGGCTCTCTTTTAAGAGACACTTTTGAGATAGTTGCAGAGTTTCAAAAGAGGGCAGGATCCTGAATTTCTGTCACTCCCCATTTATAAAGGAACTAAGGGTTAAGAATAAAATGATCTGTTCCAACCCAGGGTCCTTTGAGAAGACCATAGCTCCAGAGGAAGGTCCTGCCGCCCACCCTGGGGATTATAACATGCTGTCTTGCAGGAAGTCTGGCTCCAGAGCACCAGTTCCTCTGAGTAGCCCCCAAGTGAGGACCCACTCTGCTCTCAGCAGTGTCGTCCCCACGCCCTGCACTGTGGGTCTGTCGCGTCCCTGGCCTGCCCCGCTTCTTTCTCTAGGTTCCTCATGGTCTCTGGTCTTGGAGCTTTGCAGTCACTCCAAAGCCCCTCCTCCATTGGTTGGATTTGGAATTCTTGAGGGACAGGTGACAGGTTCACCACTGTGGGTCTGGTGTGGAGATGGCTCTGTGCTTCCTGTGGCTTTGGCCCTGAGTGGCCTGATACATCATTCCCTGGAGAAGCTGCCTGTAACACTGTGGTTGGGGTGGGATGGGGTTCGGGCCATCTGGGGTGCTTCGATTCTGAAAGAGCTAAGTGTCCTTCACAGTCTAAGAATGTTTGGGTCCTGCCCTCACACTGTTCTCTATCCCGGGAAGCATGGGTGTTTAGGTTGGGTGCCAGTGACGTCCCTGACTGGCCTCCTTGGCTGCTTGACTCCTCTGTGTTGGCCTTGGGTTTTTAGCCAGAGTCCAGTGCAGGGCATTTGAGAGAAATGCACAGCCCCAGCCCCTGCTGCACTTGGATCTGTCTGCCTGCCTCTGCTCGTGACTCCAGGAGACAGGTGGCTTCTCCCACTCCAGGTGTGGGGGAAAGCTTATTCTGAAGGAAGGCACTGAGGACCACTGGTGCTTTTGCTGAGACTTTTCTTATTGGTTACGGTGAGAAATTCAGATATGTTAGGTCTCCAGAGCCCTTGGTGGTGTGACTGGGGGTTAAATCCTCACATTGTCCCTCTCCCTTTTAGTGGGGGCAGTGAAAGGAGGCTAGATTATCTCCCATTTAAAACCTCCTTGGATTTAGATAGTTCTGAGTTAAAGCTGAAACACCAAATATTAACTCTTCTCATTCTTTCCGTAATTTCAAGGTCCTTAAAACCAGTGAGTTGAACCCAAGAACACCTGCGCCACCCATTGGCAGCAGGCAGGGGTGTGATGCAGGCTGCCCTGCAGAGCCAGCTGTGTGCACAGGACCAAGGCTCCTTGGCACCTGGGAGATTGTGAGAACAGTCTGAAGGGCGGAGTGGGGCAGGACCCCACCCAAGAGGCAGGTGGCCCCAGGTCTTCCTCCCGTCTCTACCCGGGTCTGGAAACTCAGCCCCAGACTCTGTGCCTTTGAAGTCTGGTTCTCAGTGTCCTTTTGGAGTGGTGTTGGGGCTGTGTTTGTAGTGGGAGCAAGCCTGAGCCATCTGACAAGTCAGCTACTGCGCTGCCACCCTCAGCCCCAGGCTACAACCTGATGTGGGCTGGCTACCACTGCAGGTGGCCCACGGGTGCTGCTGGTGCCATCCCATCCCCAGCGTCTCCCCTGCCCTGAGGAGCATACTTCTGCTGCGGTTTTAGGAGACTGGTGTGACCACCTCTTAGTCAGGCCTTGACCGTGACCATCAGCAAAGCCTGATGGTTTTGTTCCCTTAGTGACTCAGCAAGAATGTCTGTTTGTAATGGAAGCAGATGGTTGAAACAGGAGTTGGAATCATGTGTTTGTGAATGTGTGTGACGTCCTCAGACGTAAGGTGCTCTTCAGTCCTTCTGTTCTTGTTGTTGCTGTTTTGTGACTTTCGGGGACACCATTTACTTGGGCCTGGTGTCACCTGAGCTGTGCACAGAGGGCTCCGCTTCCACGAGCAGTTTCATCTCTAGCTTTTCCAAGCCAGGTATTGAGCAGCTTCTTGGTCAGTGGTCTGATTGAAAACCACCCGTCCCTGTCAAGGGATGACCTTGTGGGTTTTGGTTGGAGACAGAATCCATCGTGTTTATTTTTTAAATATATGGAAAAGGCCTTTCCCTTGGCAGAGTCACTGGCTGCAGAGAGGGTGATTCATTAACAATTCTGGTTCCTCTTCAAAGCCAAATAGACCCATGTGACTAAGATTCTAAAGTATGTAGTTTAGCATTCAACTGAAATTCAAGTCCTGAGTTTGATAGTGGATTTTAATAGTTGTTAAAGGTATGAATTCATGTTTTATAACTGTAGAGGCAAGTGAGTTTTTTATTTTTAAAAAAGTTTTAAGAGAATAATTGTAAGTTTCTGTGCAGCAAAGTGGCTAAGAGCTCATTAAATATAAGCAGAGAATGTAGTATCTAAATCCAGATTTTCCTTACCTCCGGTACACTTCAAGATCACTTGCCTAATATGTATTGAGGGGCTTTAGCCCTTAGTTTTATCAATTTTTCTAGTTTTATTTTATTTTTATAAAATAATTGAAAAAGAACCAAAAATGAATTCAAAAGTCCCATAATGGATCTTGCCCCTTCTTAATTTTACCCAATAGTAACACATTATAGAAGACATTTTGAATCAAAATGTATTATGACCATTTGAAGTTTACTGTTTTCTAAGAAATCGAGCAGCTAAAGGGCCTCACTTCAGGTAGTACTCCATGTATTGTCCTGGACTCGGTCGTCCCTGCACGGTGGATCTGCGTGAACATGTCTTGTGCTTGCAATATGGAAACCATGCAGTGCTGTTTTGTAAATTGACAGTTCCTGTATAAACACCATTATTTATATACGTCGGCCTCTCTGTATAATTTTTCATTTGCTACATGGATTGTATAATTAATTATAAAATTATAGTACCTGCTAAATCCAGTCTGAGGCTTCATGTCATTATCTTTGGTTTGATACCATTCTGTGTGTCATGAGGGTGTCCAGTGTTTGCGTGATGCTAGGCGGTAATGCCACTTTAAATTAAGCCTTAATTAGATACTAAATTTGTGAGATTCAGAGTATGCAAAAATGATAGGCAGAGTGAGTTTAAACTGTTCCAATCAATACACTATATCATAAATAAACAAATGTTTTTCTCTGAAGTTAAAAAGGGAAGCATCTAGTAATTACCGCCCTCCCCACCCCACCCTAGCCCATCCCTGCATTCTCTCTGGTCTGGCTTAGCTATTGCCCTTGTTTGATGAAAATGGACCGTTGTTCATTTCTGTGGCAGTCAGTCCAAAAGACCTGTTCTGAAAGTCTAGAGACTTTTTCAGGGTTGTTTTTTAAATGTTTGATTTTTTTTTCCCCTCCAGTCTGAGATTTATTTATACTACTGGAGAGTACGATTTGGGTGTAGGTCTTACTTGCAAACCTGCTCATGTTCTATAAGCTTTCTTCAGGTAGTGCCACCTGTCATTGCTTCTGCATATGATTGAGACGGATTTATGTTTTGTAAAAGCATCTTCAGTTTAGAGATAAAATAGAGGGGACCCAGCTTTCTTTACAATGTGGATCTACCTCAGTTAAACAGTTGGGTGCTATTACTAAGTCTGTCAAATTAAATTGGAAAAAGTAACCAAACAGTGAGATGTTGACTCCACATGAAACTTGAAATCACAGTTTCCGTTTTTTTAATAATATTTTTTATTTATTTTGTGCCTTTTATGTTGAACCTTAATGCATTTGAAAAATCAGTATAGAATTACATTGCAGATGGGGAGAAGAGCCCAATTGGCCATGGAATTTGATAGATTCCCAGCCAACTGCTGCAGTACATCAGAATCCCAACTACCCTCTTGTGGAAGGGGAAAAAATTATGTCTAAAAGCAAATTTACCTTTTAAAAAAATCCAAATTCTTCTATGCATATATTTAAAGCTATCACTTCATTTTCTGTGCCAATGAAGGGGCGGCCAAAAAAAAAAAATCATAAGTACTTTCTTCATCGCTGTGTAGCCATTCATGCCCCTCTTCCTCTGGCAAATTCCCTAAGAGCTTCTTCATGAGCAGCAGACGGACTGCTGCTGGTCCATCTCCTGGCCCACCCAGTGCAGGTGCTGATGACCAGGAGCAGAGGAAGGGTGGGCTCATGGCTGTCTGGAGGCAGGTTTCCAAAGTTAGGAAGGCTTCCTGAAGAGTAAGAAAATCAGATAGGAGATCGATGACTTTCCACTTTTATATTTGGCAGTTTACAATTCTAGACTTTTCCTACTATGGCAATCTTTTTTAATTCTTTGGAGGTAACACACTATTTTGGAGTCTTAAGAATTTGATTTTATAACAATAAGAAATAAAAGTTAGGGATCTTTCCTGTAGTATATAGTTTTACTATTTTAAGGAGATCTCTGAATTTTACAAGAGAACCAACATTCCTTAGTGGCAAAACTTTGAAAGTTGATTTGGGAGGCTTTTTGCTGTAGGACCTCAAAAAAAAAAAAAAAAAGATGATAATTCTAGTTTAAATGTTTTTTAATTTTTTAACTTCCATCAGGTTGATACATAAGCTATATTTTATAAAGAGTAAATCATCCTTTAGTATGCTGCATATAAAGATCAGAGTTGTTGCACTTTCTCTAATAATAAATGCCCTACAATTGGCTCGCCAGGAAGCATTTTGTTTTCCCCTAACAAGAGTACTTGGGGGTGGGGTGGGGGGTGATTAAAATCTATATAGGTACCTCAAGAAAAAGAACCTGCATATGCTGCATTTTGTTTCTTTAGCTTTTACATGTAGCATTTTGTCTTGCTTTGGTTATTTTGTTTAGATATATGCTTTTTGGACCCCAATAGACTGTTGAAAGAAAATTCAAAGTTTCTCTTGTCGAGGTATAGTATCCTTTTTTAACGTACTGCAATGTCTGATTCAGAGGTTGCCCTGCATTAGAGTACCGTACCCAGACACTCCTGAGGAAAGGGTGCGACGTTCATGGCAGACAGCAATGTGGCGGATCCTTTCTGTTCATGCTGCTCTCGAATCCCTTCTCCATGTCATCAGAGGCTGGAGACCTTATTTCTAAGCTCAAAGTTGAAAACCATGGCATTTTAGTTTTTCAACACAGACCTCATAGAGTCATTGCCATTGGGCAAGTGCGTGACCCTACAGTGCTGCTGGTGGCAGCAGCTGGTCGGCCTGGCCTCCGAGGAGCCAGCCTGCGCCTTTCTTCATTCCCCTGCACTCACCCCAGGCTGAACTGGTGGGGGTGGTCTGGATGGACAAGACAAACTGGTGAAGAAAGCTAAATGCTGAGACACTGAGCACCTGTTGTGTTTAAGCTTAGCTGGGTCCTTTCAAGTTTGTTTTTACAGCTTACTAGGTTAAGTAGTTTGCACTATTTTTGCAATAAATTCATGGAAAAACCTAACAGTTACTTGTTTTGTTTCTTACTGTGTGTATATAAACTAATATTAAAAGTTTGGCATAGTGTTTTTTCACCTCCTTACATAACCCCTAACATGCACAGAATGCTGTAAATCTGATAAAATATGATGTGAATGATATTTTATAAAGTTATTTTGTATGGTGTCGATTTTGTTTTGCCTCATAGTATGTCAGCAAAAATTAAATAAAATTCCTCGTATTTACAGCTGCCTCTTCCAACAATCTCCAGTTATTCACAATTTATGTCTGTGGGCGCTGCCTTGCGCACAGGTGCTGAGTCCGATTTCAAGGTCGAAGCAGGCCTTGAGGAGGAAGTCCAGAGCCCTCTTACACAGTTTGTGGGGGCCCTTCCTTGATAAATGGACTTGGCAGAGCCAAGCATTACCTGAGGACCTGAGCGGGACAGGACTGAGGGTGAACGCAGCATGCAGGAGACCTACGTGGTCCCACACCAGCAGCCGGGGAGGAAGGACAAAGTGAAGGGGCCCAAACTGTCCTTGTTTCTTGCTGGTAAGTCCCTTTACCCCTCACCCTGGCTGTTCACACACCTCCATGCTGCTCTGAAATTCCTGGTGGTCTCATTCTGGGCTGTTTTTGATTTCTTCTATCTATACTGAAGAATAGGTGGTGCTAGGAGGACAGGAAAAGAGGATTGGATTAAGAAAGCCAGCAGCTGAAAATCCCTAGGATATATGCTTTGCTAAAGCAGGCTACTGGGTTTGTGGGGGTTTTTTGTTTTTTTTTTTTTTTAATATTTTTAGTTGTGGGTAGACTTTATTTTAGACCTTTATTTATTTTTATGTCATGCTGAGGATCAAATCCAAGGCTTTACATGTACCAGACAAGTGCTCCACCTCTGAGCCCAAGCCCCAGCCCACAAGCCATATCTTGTCATTTAAGTTACCATAATTCATTATTGAATTAATTATTACTTTTGACATTCTGGTCTCCTTTTTCTTATTTATTTATTTATTTATTTTTAACAAAGTCAAGATGTAGTGATTTCTTAACGTATCTAGAACCCTGTACTACTACTACTTAAATGTAGAAAAACTACATCTGGGCATGGTGGTATACACCTGTAACCCCAGCAACTTGGGAGATTGTGGCAGGAGGATCACAAGTTCAAGTCTAGCATGGACAACTTAGTCAGATCCTGTCTCAAAATGGCCTGGCGGCATAGCCCAGTAGTAGAACACCCTTGGTTCAATCCTAGTACCACCCAAAAGAAGAAAGCCATTACAAAATACCTTTGTGCCCACCAGCCCTGGAACATGTTAGTCAAAATCCAAAGAATACTCAAACTGATAAGAGATCTATGCGGCCCCGACCTGCACAGGCAGCTGAACTTGAGATCGCTTGAGTGAGTTTGAAGGATAAAACAAACACAGATTACCTTTACACAAGCTTCAGGCCAGCTTCTCTACTCTCGGCCTCAAGCTCCCCAAAAGGGAGAGCAAGAGAAAGAGGCTGGCGAGAGCGAGCATGTTGGAAGTGGGCTTTTATTGGGGGGACTCTTATTATTTAGAAAGTTCTATCCAAAAAAGGACAGAAGGGGCAGGGTTACAAGGGACAGGTGAGTAAAACTCAATCTCAGGGTGACACACCTGAAGACCATCTTACTATCATCTGAGCTGTAAGAAATGTAGTGATTGGTCAGAGCCTTATGCTTCAGGACTGGAAGGTGTGGGGCATTCAGGGTGGTGCCCCACAATCTACAATATACTTACTATGGCCTGACCTATTAAAATCTCTTGTTCACTGTCATTTATTGAATGGCTAGAGGCAGTCACAATCTGATTGGAGCGACCTCAATGTAAAAGCAGTGCATGATGGTTAATGTTAAATGAATTTGGAAAGGATTCCAAACAACTCCTTGCATGTGGACACTTTTGCTCTATTTGGATAAGCAGCCTGTATCAGCAGGAAATGAAAGTCAATGGAGAAAAGTTCTACAATACAGTGAGATCAGTCTCATGGGCCTTGAATGTTAAACTGAGAACCTTCCCCATTGTGGAAACGCTACTTCTTAAGCTGCATGGTTCAGTGAAAAGTCTAGTCTGGGATTTCAATTCCATTTACACTAATGACAAAAAAGGTGTTAATCTTCATGAAATTACTTTGATAGGAGGAAGGAGGCTGTAGAGATGAGGAGGAAACCTTTTATATAGTATGTAAAGAAATTATTTACTTTTTGGTACCGGGGAATGAATCCAGGGGTATTTAGCCACTGAGCCACATCTCCTGCCTGTTTTTGTGTTTTATTTAGACACAGGGTCTCACCGAGTTACTGAGGGCCTCGCTAAGTTGCTGAGGCTGGCTTTGAACTCGCAATCCTCCTGCCTCAGCTTCTGGAGCTATGGAGATTACAGGCATGTGCCACCACACCCAGCCTACATTTTTAACTGGTTAAAGAAAATCCAAATATTTCATGACACATGAAAATTATAGAAAATTCATATTTCAGGGTCCAGAAAGTCATTAATTATTTTCCATTTAACATATTATCTATGGCTGCTTTCCTACAATAATAACAGAGCTGAGCAGTGGCTATCGGCCCTTTCCAGAAAGTTTTCAACTGGGAACAGCTCAGAGGCTGCAAGGGTAAAGTGGTGGATTGACCAGGAGGGCATTGTCCAGAGGGTGACAGTAAGTGTTGTGTCTTAACTCTGATGGTTACTAGACAGAAGTGGATTTCTAAATACTTAAAACATGAGGAGCCAGGTGTGGTGGCACATGCCTGTAATTCCAGTGGCTCAGGAGGCTGAGGTAGAAGGATTGCAAGTTCAAAGCCTGCCTCAACAACTAGGTGCAGATAACTCAGTGAGACCTGTCTCATTTTATTTAGAGATAGGGCTGGGGATGTGGCTCAGCAGTTGAGTGCCCTTGGTACCAAAAACGGGGGTGGGCACAGAAATGTCAGTTGTTGCCAGAGGGTACAGAGAGTAGGGGGTAGACCAACTATAGGCAGCACAGGGTAAGCCTTTGGGTGATGGAACTATCCTGTGTATTGACTGGCTACAAATCTGCATTTGTAGCTGGTACAGTGGTAGGTGCCCACAGTTCCAGCTGCTAGTTCAAGGCCAGCCTGGCCAACATGAGACCCTGTCTTAAATAAAATCCCCCAAATCATACATTTGTCAAAATTCATACACTTGAAACCAAAAAGGGCGATTTTACTGGATGTAGGTTATAAGGACAGTATACCAAGGCAGAGGCAGTATTTCTGCATTTCATTTGATAATCTGGGAGTTTACCTTTGGGAATAAAAGTGGGTTTTTGTTTTTTGGTTCTGAGCCACAGCCCCATAAAGAAATGCCTGCTTTTAAATTTTACAAAACTTTCAGATAGTAAGCAAAGGATTAGAACAAATGAGTCCTAAAACTAGTTCCACAAAGCACATTACTGTAAAAATATGTACAGACCTTAATAGAAAAGAAAAAGTATATTTCTTTACAATAAAAAAATAAAATTTGAACAAATAGTCAAATTTTATAAAAATACATAACTGAAAGGAAGCATATGACTATAAACTACATATTTAGCTGAAACTAAATCCAGTTCTTATAAGAATTTCAGAATATAAATCATAAATCCACATCTTATCCAGAAGCTTGTCAGAATCTCTCTGCAAGTTCAAAGGAAAGGACAGTGGTTTCAGCTGCAGGGTGGCCTATCAGACCGCAGTTGCACTATTTTCCCTTCAGCTCTTCATGGTGTAGATGCAGGAGATGCTCAGTTTTAGTCATGAAGGAATATGATGTACTGGAAATTTCTGGAAAGGGAGACCAAAGCCATATGGTGATTTGATTGCTTCAGAGCAAGAGGGTCACCAAGGAGGGTCCTGGCCAGGTGATTTCTAGAAGCCTTCTTCCTTGGTCTAGGACTCCGCTTCATCATCGTCACTTCCTTCATCGTCCTCATCCTCCTCCTTCTTCTCTTTAAGCATTTTCAGGTACTTACTAGCTAAAATCTTCTTTGGTAATATATCTTAAAAACATAAAGCTGACATCAGCAACTGGTTATGATAAACTATGAATAGAACAGTACAAACTGAAATCAAAGAAACTGGTTCCTATTTTGACCTCTAGAACAGGTTCCAAAACAAGATGAAATAAATCATCAGGGAAACTAGCAATGCTACAGACCTGCTCCCACTCCACCAGCAGCAAACCATACTGTTTGTTTTTTTTTTTCCTTTTGGTAGGGGGGAGCAGTAACTGGGGATTGGATCAGGACGCTTAACCCCTGAGCCACATCCCCAACCCTATTTTGTATACTTAGAGACAGGGTCTCACTGAGTTCCTTAGTGCCTGGCTTTTGCTGAGAGGCTGGCTTTGAACTCAAGATCCTACTGTCTCAGCCTCTGGAGCCTCTGGAATTACAGGTGTGTGCCACGGTGCCCAGGTAAACCATGCTGTTTCTATGTGCTGGTTTTGTGAGCAACCCTGCCCAACCTACCGTAGATGGGCAAGGCTAGACCAAGGGCAGACTCAAGCTTTTTTTTTTTTTTTTTAGCTAGGGCCTCTTCCATAGAAGCAAGCATTAGTTTCTGTTTTTGAGTTTCCTTTCAGTGGCTAGGGTTGAGGGTCTACCCAGCAAACCACTTTCCCCATTTATTGACTTCATTACTGTTCTAGGTGGACAAACAAATTTCATAACAAAAATGTGTAGTTTTTAGGGGGCTGGGGTTGTGGCTCAGTGGCAGAATGCTTGCCTCACACATGTGAGGCACTGGGTTCGATCCTCAGCATCACATAAAAATGAATAAACAAAGATACTGTGTCCATGTATAACTAAAAAATATTTTTTTAAAAAATGTGTAGTCTTCAAACATAAAGGACTAGAAATATCTCCCTGTGCCAGATCATGATAAACTGTGGCTCGTGAAGAAAGCAGCAAAGGATCTAATCTAATTCACTGCAAGCAGAACCAGGGTTAAAACAACAAAAGATTAATGATTAGGGATCCTTTAACCAGATGCTTCAGAGATTAAGTACCTGCAAGAAACTGAAAAGTGTCCGATTCCTCTGCAGTATTCGCTAAGTCATTGTAAGTCAGTGCTTTCTTTTCTTTTCCACTGCCATGTCTGTAGGAATAGGTGGCTAGGTACTGAACAAAGAGCTCCTAAAATAAAATGAAACAGTCAAAGTGTGCTTTTAAAATCATAGGACTTTCTTTATTCTGGTGGGGGGTGAGGTGTAC